ATATATATAGCGCAAAAGAAAAAAAAAGTTAATGAGATTTCATTCAGAATTTTTCTTCTTTAAAGAAAGACATTTAACTTTATATAATTTAAAAAATTGTATCAAATAAAATTTTAATTAAGAAAAATTTCACAAGATACCTTTCAAAAATTGCAATAATTTTTTTCTTTTTCAAAATTTTCGCAGAAAAATTCTTTTTTTTTTCTTTTTCAATTATATAGATGTCATTTTTCTTTTTTAACGAGAATTTATTTATTATGAGCATAAAATTTTTTTATATTAATAATTTTTAATAATTAATCATTTTTTTTATGTTCTAGGGATAATAGTAAATTAATTTTGTCACAGAGAAATATTTTATTGTCGTTTATTTGAAACAAATAAAATTTATTTTTTTTACGCCATAATATTAAACGTAAAATTTATTTGAAGATAATAAAAATTTATAATAACTTTTTATTTGTTTTAAATAAAAAAAATTTATTTAGCACATATTAAACTTTATTTAGCGGAAAATCTTTTTATTTAACTGAAATAAAATTTATTTGACTCTAAATATATCTTTTATCTAGGTATTCATTTTACCTATGAACACTAAACATGAAATAAAAATTTATTTTTAATTGTAATAATAATCGTTTACTATTTATCAAATAATTATTTATTTGAACCAAAAATAATTATTTACTTGAACCAAATAATTTGTAATTCAATTAAATAAATTATATTTGAAAAAATAATTTTGAAAAAATACCATTTAATTGACACAAATTAATAATTATTTAATACAAATAAATATTTATTTGATAATATAGTCAAATATTATTTGAGTTAAATAATTTTTTTTCAGTATATTATAATAATCGGATAATCTGATAATAATAATTCAATTTAATCTTGAAAAAAAATCGTCTCAACAATTCATTATAACAATAAAAAAAAAATGTATGTCATGAAATAAGAATAGGATTCTGGTTTGTAGTTATTGAATAAAATTGAATGTGATTTAACTTATAACGACGGAAGATGGGATACAGTCAGGGAAAATAATTTTCTGAGTTCAATAAAAAAAAAAAAAAAAATGTTATTTAATGTTAATATAATTATTATTCTATCAGAAAACAATTACATTTAAACTTTATTTATTTATTAAACTCAAATTAAATTGAGAAATTTAATAGAATTTAGGAAGTTGTATTTTATCTTTTTTTTTTTAAGAATAAACACCCAGAGAAATGATACATTTGTCTCAGATGCTAATAAATATTTACTTGATTTAAATAAATTTTTATTTGATTCAAATAAATTTTTATTTCACTTAAATAAACTTTTATTTGATTTAAATAAAAAATTTTATTTACGCCAAATAAATAGACTAGTAGGCCGTGAGACAAGTATACGTTTATTTAAATCAAATATATTATATTTGGTTCAAATAAAACAATTCTCTGGGTGTACTGTAAAAATTAAAAGTGAATATTTAGAAGAAAAAAAAAATTAAACATGAACCTTACGTTACATATAAACTGTATTCTTAATTAAAATTAAATTCCGTTAATTAAATTTCCATTTTTAAAATTCCCTCTACGAGAGAGTATATATTTACTACGAGGCAAAAAACTCATTAAGGAAAATTTCTATATTTATATATTTGGACCGCAGTGAACGAAAATATAATCGAATCTCATTGAATTTTGTGAGTGTCGAAAAAAAAAATTGCGTTTTTGCTCTTAATTTAAAAAAAGAGATCGAGGCCAAGGAGAATTGAAGTAAAAAAAAAAAAAAAAAAAAAAAAAAAATGAAAAAAAAGAGAAACAAAAACAGCAAAAATCTTGGAATTATCAAGAAGAGCAGCTGGTTTACGTGCGTGCTTAGATTTTACAGTGGAAAATTAAGTAAAACGGAACTTTACTGGGAAAGAATTAAAGTGAAAAGTGCATGAAGACGTGTAGAAATAGATGTGTTTAAATTTGTACCAGGTTGCGCTATAAATGCACATCATAGAAGAGACTCGCGTCTGTTCATCGTCTGCTTTTCTCACACTTCACGCTCCTATATGCTTCTTCTATTTCAAATCCGTCATGTAAACCAAGATTTACTGTCCATCAAAAAATTATTAAAAAAAAAAAAATTATTCTCATTCAATATAAATGTTTCCGGTTTTTCAGATTCTACAATTTTTTTTCTCAAATTAAATTTCAAAGTAGCTTAATATTTTTTAAATATATTTTTTAAATATATTTTTTAAATATATTTTTTAAATACATTTTTAGAATATGTTTTTGAATATATTTTTGAATATTTAATTGTTTTTATTACATTATAAATTTTCCATTTTTTCACCTGTTTAATATTTTTTTGAATATATTTATTATTTTTAGAATATTTTTTTGAATAATTTTTGGATATTTAATTTTTTTTTATTTAGTTATTAAATTTTCCATTTTTTTAACCTTTTTTTTACCTTGAATTGTAATAATAATTTTTGTGTACTATTTACAAAAAAAAAAAAAAAATTCGAATAATTTAAAAAAAAAAATCTTATTTCAAAATATGGGGAAAAAAATAAGATATTGTGCGAACAGATATTAAAAAAATAGCTTGTTATGAGGGAAAAATAGATTTTTGTCAGACGTGCTCTATGTCAGGTTTAACGAAAATAATTCTGCGAATGTTATATGAATGTTTCTATAATGAAATCCTTGACATAATTTCCTAACCCCCCCCCCCTCACATACACACACACACACATATATATATATAACAATGTAAAGAAAAATTTACGGTAAATTTTATTTTAAAACCATGAGAATTTTGTTTTCTCGTATATAGAAAATGATTTACTCTCAAACTAATTAAATAACATCAATTTATGAGTGTTGTGTGGGTAAACATATAAACTCTATATTTTACATGCTACTATATGGTTTTTAGTATAATATATGTTTCTTACAGAGAGAATTTTAAATAACATCCCTTTTTGTGGTGGTAAACATTATTCAAATTTTCTAATCTAGTATTTAAAAACAAAAAGATTTACTTTTAATTTCAAATAAAAAAAAAAAAAAAAAAAGATTTAAAAAAAAATTTTTTTTAAATATTTGAAAAAAGATTTTAAAAAATAATTTAAAAAAAAATTTATAGTAAATTATAAATTATTATTATTAAAAATTACTATTATGTGTAAATTAAATTATTATTATAAACTATAAAATAATTATATATTATTATTTATTTTATTATTAATAATTAATTATTGGGTCAGAATTTCTCAAACGGATCACCTAAAATTCAGAAATTTTTTTTTCAATCAAAAATCATTTCTTTTGACTCCTTACATTGTAAAAATAAGTCCCTGAAATTTTTAGGTTAAAAAAAATTTTTTTGTTAAAGTTATAAACAATTGAAATTTTTTGCAGTCTTATTTTAAAAAATTTTTTTCTCGAGTTCTTGTTCACCAATTAAAAAAAAGGGTTTTTCTCGTCTTAAAATGTAGTTTCTAAATATAATTTTTATTTTGAAAAAATTTCATATTTAATAGATTTTTATATTATTTATTTATAAAATGTTATTAAAAAATAGTGTTCTTGACGTCCTATAGAAAATTAAATTTTTTTTTTTTTTTTTTTTTAATTCCTCACACAATTTTGTGTAAGAAACCGTTGAGAAAAAAAATGAGACTAAAAAAAAAATTTCTGAATTTTATGTGATCCGTTTGAGAAATTCTGACCCTATTATAATAATGTTATTATTATTTTAATTATTTATTATTATGAATTATTATTATAAAATATTATTATTATTAGGTATTTTTATTATTGTTATTAGTAAAAAAAAATTCATTAATTAATTTTCCTGTTCTTAAAATAGATATTCTGCTTTTTTTTAATAAAAAAAAATTGTATTCTTTAATTTTTGAATATTAATAGAGGAAAATGAACAAAGAATTTCTCCCGTGGGATTAATTGCTTCTATTGTTTAATTATCGATTGATTTTCATCAGAAAATCTTTGCGATGCAATTATCAATCTGCTAATTGAAGTGTAATTCAATCCTTCAATATAGAACCGCTGTTATTGCAAATGCGACGCTTCCTCATATGACATTTTGGCACATGTATATATATATATATATATATATATATATATATATATAAACTGACACATGTCAATATTATTTTTGATTGAAGGCCATTCAAAGAGTACAAATCGCCTAATTAATTATTATTATTCCTCCCCCCAATAAATTAAGTGTAAAGATGTATTAATTTACATGCAAGAAATTCTTTTAATCTGCAGTAGTTAAAATAAAATTTAAATAATTTTAAATTGAAAAAAAATTATTTATTACTTTTAATAATTTAATTTTAGTTTTTAATTTTTCTTTTTAATTTTCAAATATATTTTAATAAATTTTTTTAAATCGAAAAAAAAATTCGCATCAATTTAGTGTCATGTTTTTTTTTTTATTATTATTATTTTTGACGAAGATTGATCTTTGGTTTGCGATCATTTTGATCCGATGTCAATTTTGACTTGACATTTAACATCTCCCCCCGGTAGTATAATCGGTTTCGTGATTCGTGTGTCTTTTCTCTCTCTCTCTCGCTCTTTCTCTTAGATTTCTACTTGCATCGTAAACGTGACCCATCAAAGACGCTTTTAGAACAAAGATTACGTCACTTCCGACGTCATGGGTTTTTGTCGCAGAATTTGTTTCAAAGTTGAAATTTAATTTTTTTTTTTAAAACACTTTTTCGAAACTATAGAATAATTTAATTTTTTTCTTCTATTTACAATATTATAATTTTTTATAAGTCCACTCGATTTTTTTCTTAAAAGAAAAATTTTTTTCTATTCACTAAGGAAAAATTTCATTATTTTTCAAAATAATTTTTTTGATTTGTAATTTCAATTTTGGGAAAAAAAAAGAAAATTTTGTTTTTCAATTTAATTTTCTTCGCAATAAATAATTAAATAATTAACTTTCATTTGTTTCAGATATGCCCAGTGAACAATCTGTTTTTGTGATGCTGAACGGAGAGGAGAGCGAATTGAAATTTTTGAATATTACTAACCCAAAGGTGAGATAATAATTAAAAAAAAAAAAATTTCTTTGAAAAAAAAATTATTAAACTAAATTCAAAAAACTCAATTTAAATTAATTTAATTTAAATTTAATTAATTAATTAAAATTAAATCAATTAATTTTAATTAAATAAACAATTTAATTGTTAAAAAATAAGGGGGAAATTGATGGGGAAGAATATATTGTAAAACTTTAAAAAGTCTACAATGAAGAAATAAATTTATCTTACGTTATCTACATCCAGAGAAAAGATATATATACTTTTCTCAGAGACAAATAAGTATTTATTTCTTTCAAATAAATTTTATTTGAGTTGAAAAAAAATTTTATTTACGTTAAATGAAATTTTATTTGTGCTAAATAAATTTTTTTTTCATTTAAAATAAATAACAAATTATTAGGCTCCGAGAAAAATATATTTTTATTTGCTTCAAATTTTGTTGTTCCAAATAAACGCAAATAAATTAAATTCTCTGGGTGTAATTAAATGAAATATATTTAATAAATATATAATTTTTTTAATTATTTTTTTTACTGTATAAAATTTAGTTGATGAATTTTGTATTTTACATTATATAATTTTTTGTATTAATCAAATCAAGTATTAAATATTTACTTGAATTTAATAATTTTTATTTGACTTTAATAAACTATGTATTTAAACCAATAATTTCTGTATTTAAACCAATAATTTCTGTATTTAAACCAAATATTATTTTATTCAAAAAATATTTGGTTCAAGTAAATATTTATTTTATAATAATCTTGAATTAAATAAATTTTTTTCAGTGGAGATAAAAAGGTTTTTTTAATCAAAATTTTTTTTTCAATAACAATTTTAAGTAAAATAATAATAATTTTTCTTTCTTTTTCAGAGTGAATTGGAAAAAATTCCAAAACCTGATGCATTTATAATAATGTATTCGGTGATAGACAAAGCGTCGTTTCAAAGGGCTCAAGAACATTTGGCTCGTCTACATGACCAAGATTTGTTACGAGGTAGACCGGCAATCTTAGTCGGGAACAAAGTTGATTTGGTACGGTCTAAAGTTGTTTCCCCCGAAGGTATGTATTAACAGGATATATATAAGTATTCAACAAAGTTAAACTTTAATTTTAAATTACGTTACAGATATCTTAATTAAATTATACTCTCTCTCACTCACTCTCAGACTAAAAAGTTTCCTACTGTATCACTATATATTAAATTTTAATAACAAGAAACAAACATTTTAGATCCGATAAATCACAGAAAGGCAAAAAATGAGGAAATACTTTTTTTCTCCCTTCTGGAATACAAAAGAGAACCGTTAGAAAATTAAATACTTAAGTTTTAATTAATATTCTTCTTTTTCTCTATATCTATAATTAAGTTTTTCAATTTAATTGGATTTATACTGCGAGGAAACTTAGCATTTTTTTTTCTCCGACACAGAAAATCAAAACATTCAAAGAGAAAAAATATTTCTTGTGCTAAATAAATTTATATAAGCACAGAGAAATTTTTTCACTAACGTTTATTTGAGCCAAATAAAATTTATTTGAATCAAATATAAATTTTTTATTTATTTTAAGTGAAGAAATTTATTTAGCAGAAATAGAATTTTATTTAGAGCAAAAACAAAATTCATTTAGCACAAATGAATATTTATTTTGCACTAAATAAAATTCTATTTGTGCTAAATAAATTTCTTATTGAGCTAAATATTAATTTCTTTTAAAAAAAAATTATTCAGCACAAACAGAAATTTATTTAGCAGAAATAAATATTTAGCGCAAAAAGAAATTTATTTAACACAAATGAATATTTTTTTGCGCTAAATAGAATTATATTTGTGTTAAATAAATTTTTTTTGCGCCAAATGAATATTTATTTTTTCTAAATAAATTTCTATTTGTGTGAGTAATTTTTTTTTGATGAAATAAATATTTATTTCTTTAAAAAAATTTATTCAACACAAATAGTAATTTATTTAACTCAAAGAAATATTCATTTGCACCAAATAAAATTCTACTTGTGCTAAATAAATTTCTTTTTTTAAGAAACAAATATTTATTTACGCCTAAAATTTATGTAGATGGTTAAAAAAATTAACAAGATGGTAAAAAATTTTGAAAAATGAAAATATAAAAAATTAACGACGCAGAAATCTACCTTACCGACTGATGGTAAAACAGTTTTTTGAAAAATTTAAAATACAGTAGGACTCCGGTTATCCGAGCTAATGTGGACCGGAGCTACCTCGGATAAGGCGAAAACTCGGATAATCCGAATTGTTAAATATTTATTACAATTTAACATTATTATTGTTTAAACAATTATTATTTAATACAAAGGGGAAAATAATATTGTAAATATTCCATAATAATTTAAACAATTTGAATTTATTAAAAATAAACTCATATTTATAAAAAACTAAAATTAAAAATAACTCGGATGACGCGGACTAGACTCGGATAATGCAGAATTTCCTACTGGGATACCATCTCGGATAAACGGGGTTTTATTGTATGAAAATTACCGACATAGAAATCTACCTTATCGACTGATGGTAAAAGTTTTTTGAAAAATAAAAATATAAAAAAATTATCGACACAGAAATCTACCTTACCGACCGATGGCAAAACAGTTTTAAAAAAGTTAATTTTGTAAATTTTCATTTTTAAAAAACTGTTTCATCATCAGTCGGTAAGGTAGATTTCTGTGTTGGTAATTTTTATATTTTTATTTTAAAAACTGTTTTACCGTCAGTCGGTAAAGTAAATTTCTGTGTTGGTAATTTTTATATTTCCATTTTAAAAACTGTTTTGCCGTCAGTCGGTAAGGTAGATTTCTACGTCGGTAATTTTTATATTTTCATTTTTCAAATATAGATCTTTTCTCTACTTTATGTGACTTTAAATAAATTTGATTTAATTTTTAAAAAAAATGTTTTTTTTTCAATTTTTTTCAGATGGAAAATGTGTGGCGTGTACATATCGAACGAAATTCATTGAAATTTCAGTGGGAATAAATCATAATGTCGATGATCTCTTGGTGGGAATTTTAAATCAAATTCGATTAAATATTGTCCAAGGACATTTGGATAATAGAACCGTAAATGGAGAAAGCAGTGGACGTTGGTACAAATCTCGTGGAGTTGTTCGTGCCAGCATGAAAGCGAGACAAATGCTCACGTGGCTCTTTGGCAAGGAGGACAGTAAATTTAAAAATTGCGAAAATCTCCACGTTCTATAAATTCAAAATTCATCATATATCAAAAAAAAACCTTCCTCTACGAGAAAGTAAAAAAAAATAAATAATCAAAAACCGATCAATCGTAAATATATCAATTTTAGCCTTTTTCTTGACGATTTTTCAAGTTCTCTTAACTTTTGTAAATTTCTATTAGAATTAATATTATATTTAATATAATTATTATTATTATTGTTATTAATTACTGCAATTATAACTAAATTTCTTTTATTCAAAACCAATAAACAAAATTTTGTTTTCAAAATTCGAAATTTTTTTTTTATTGAAAAAATTTTTTAAAAATTGAAGTTGAGAAAAATTGTGAAATTATCAATAAATAGGTGAACTGACAATTATTATTATTATATCGTAATTTTATATAATTATAAGTAAATATATATATATCAAATCATTGGCGATACATGGAAGGACAAATCAGTTCGGCTTAATGATCGACCGATATTATTTATAAAAAATAAAAATAAAATGTGCCAACCTCTACTTCAAAGAGAGATCAACAATTTAATGTAATGAACGTCGAATCAATTGCGTTCAGAGTTATTGGTTCGTAAAATGTAGACTGACTCAAAGAACACGTGATTGGCTTTAATTATCTAGTTGTTCAAATTCACGTCATATATTTAAAATTATATAACTTTGATTAAAATCGAACAATGATTGTTCGATATGAAATATTTGTTTTAATTATTATTTATATTATTACCGAATTGAATATATCAATAAGCAAATAATAAATATATCGCAATATTGATATTCTAGAAATGAAATTAAAAAAAATGAATTTCAGTTAAAAAAAAAAAATTTCAAATAGATATGATTTTAAAACGACGTTCTTATTGGACCAAAAAAAAAGGAACCAGAACCAATTATGTAAAATACATATATTATAAAATTATACTCTTTAATCAATTTTCTCCCAATTATTATATATACATATAACATTTGGAATTTAGAAAAAAAAATTGTTATCATCGTTAATGCGCAAGGTTCGTCTGTGTTTCTATATATGTACAGAAAAAAAAAATGAATCGATTATTATAAACTTTTTTCATATAAGATATGTATATATTACCTCTGATGTAGAAAATAAGTTTAGTAAATTTATGCATATACGTTTATGATATATGATTAATTGTGTATAATTATATTCTGGTGATAATTTTCATTTACACGATAATATATATATATAAAACAATCGAAAATTATCAAAAGATTTGTCAATTCCATATTCCATTTTGTTGGAATTTTCTGGAATTTCCAAACAAAATACATTCAAACTGATCGATTATAAATTTATTTTCGATTTGTCGAGAAAAAAAAACGTATATAGGTCTTTTTAAGTATAATCGTATAATAAAAATGTCTCTTGACAACCTAAGATTTTTATCAAGTGCCTTTCGAATATTTTTATAAAACTAAGCGAGAATCCGTATATATATATAATCTTATAGGTACTTTTTGTCCTTTAATTAAATATATCAATGATCTTCAGATATAATGTTAACCGTTTTCACAGTTTTGAATTTTTTTTTCCAACAATTCAGAATTTTTAATTTATTAAATTGATTGTTTAAAATTTTTAACTGGAATTATTTAATGTATAAAATCAAAAAAATAAATAAATAAATTTACAAAATTTATTTAAAAATTGTATTTTCGAATTCAAAACTGTCAAGTGGTATATATGAAATGTAGTATAAAACAATAAAAAAAATGGAAAAAAAAATTTTCCATACACGAGGGGTTACCCAGCATCCAATCTTATCAAAGCCTATTTAAGACCCTATTCGTGTGTTTCATATAATACTGTAAAAAAAAAAAATAATAATATATATTCGTTGTATTGTAAACAATGTGGAAAGACAATACTGCCAAATCTTTCGATAATAAAAAAAAAATACAGAAACTCATAACAGCATTTTTTTTAGTTCCCAAAATTATAAAAAAAAATCAAATAATTCAATGAAAAAACTGTCAATTTATTATACTAAAAATACAAAAAAAAAAAGATAATCAACGAACATTTTTGTTTAAAATTACATCCACATCAAAATCAATTGACAAATATTTGAAAATGTACGAATTTTCGAAATTTGTATTTTAAAATAATATGGAAATATAATAATTATTTTGTAATAAGATTTATTTTCAATATATGTATATATAACATATATTGTCAATAGAATTTACGGTTCATTTTTCACAGCAATGCAATGGGTACTTTACATTGAATGCGAAATAAAATAGGAGAGCAAAAATTTTGTGAAAATCGATACTCTTTATTGTGGTTGAAATCTGAATCTTTATTCCTTTATCGGAATTTTTATAAAAGAAAAACAAAGCACTATCATAAAGGTATAAAACTCACCAGGTATTATTTACGAATTGTTGAAAATCCTATTTTTATTTTTTTTAAAAAAAAGTGAGTTTTATAAAATTAAAAGCATTAGTTAACAATTTATCAATATTTTACAAATTAATTTTTATATAAATTTAAAAAAAAATACTTTTTAAATAAATAAAATTTCTAAAGATTAAAAAAAAAATTAAAATTCGTTGACTAATTATTTTTTTTATAATTAATAAAGTATCGAACTTCTAATAATAGCCATTAAATTCTATATTTATATTGTAAAATATAAATTCTTAATTTTGTATTTGTTTTTTTCATTTTAATTTTGTATGTAACTTTGCGTTACTAAATATCGATTGTCTGAGGTCAGATTTTGCCGATTAATGCCCTTCCTTTTAGACTTGCTCTGTACTTATATAAACAATTGCATAGCAACGACTTTTAACCCTCAATGACAGTTCACAGAACCTTTTTTTTAAATAGAGATAAAATTTAAAAAATAAAATATGAAAATAAAAAGTAAAAAAAAAATTTATATTTACCAAATATAATGTATTTTTCTTATGGTAAGTGAGCGTAGTTAATTATTAATCTTTTCATGAAAAATTTTGTTTTACTTTTTTATTAACATAATATAATTTGATTTATATCGCACGAAAAGGTTTTTGATGTTTCATATTTCTGTGATGATAATGACATTTTATGTGTAACCCGATTTTATATAAATTTTCTAAAGCTCTCGTAAAATGATGTTAAATTTATGATTATGAGGTAGCATATAAAAAAACACAAGGAGAACTAAATTTTAATGGCAGGGGAGCAAATTTGTTTTTTTTTTCGTCGTATAAGAGAAAATATTTGCGAATAACAAAAAAGCGTGTAAAAAAATTATTAAATTTAATTATATTTATATTATTATATAATTATTATCCATACCTTTAAAATTCATCAGCTTTCAAAATCACCAGCGTTTGTTTTCCATTTGAAACTGTTTTCACACGCGAAAAAAAATTCGAACACTTCGAAAACAAAAAACGGTAATTTTTTTTTATTTTTACTTTATAAAATAAATTTTTTTAAAATAATTTTTTTTAAATAATTTTTTATAACTTTCATACGAACGCGATTTAAAAAATTCGAACACTCCCGGCACAAAATGATATGAGAAAAAATTTATCAAAAAAAAAAAATTAAAAGCTATTATCTACAAATTTAATTTTTCCTAACACGTGGTCTGAAAATATTCTATTTTCGAACAAATCAAGACACGAATCACAACTGAGTTCAAATAATAATAAATATGCAATAAATTCCAAGTGTTTATGACCTTACAAAGCTTCAGGTAATTACCCTTCGCACCTACCTGAATTTAAATAATATCAATTTTAAAATTCAAATATTTAAAAAAATCCAAATATTTTTTAAAATTCACAAGGTACAATTTTCTTTTTTTTAAAATAATTTCAATTTATTTAATACTTTCTCCCTTTATAATAATTTTTTTTTTTATTAATTCTTTAAAAATAATTTATAACATAGAAATAAATTATTATTTCTAAAAATTGAAACAAAAATTTTTATAAATAAAATTTGTAAATAAAATTCTAAAAATTTATTTAAAAAATAAATAATTTAAATTATTTTTTACAGAAAAAAATTTTCAGAGTATTTATTGAGGTTTTCTTTTTAAAAAAAATGTCTTCTGTTGGAAAACCAACGACCTGTAAAGATGCAATTCGTCGTTGGGAAGAAGAAAATGAACAAGAAGCATCAACAGCTTCAGAAGTTTTTATAAGTTTTCAATGGCCACCCATTGAAAAAATGGACAATTCTTTGGCAACATTATCAAATTGTGAAAAAATTTCACTTTCTACAAATATGATTGAAAAAATTGCAGGTATTAATGTAATTGTCAAATAAATTTTTAATTACGAAAAAATGTTCCTCTACTACAAATATGATTGAAAAAAAATTGCAAGCAACTTCAATATTTTTCAAAGTAAATTTTTAATTACGAATCACATGAAAAAATGTTCCTCTCTACAAAAATATGATTGAAAAATTTACAAGTAGATAATATTTTTCAAAGTAAATTTTTAATTACAATATCATTTTTATTTTTTTATTTTTTTAAATTTTTTATTCAAAAAAATAAAAATAGTCACAAAAATAAATAATCGAAAATAGAAATTAATTTTTTATAAAATTAATTGAACAAAATTTGTAACTTTGTTTTGTGCGAGAAAAAATATTTAACATTCGCGGGATTTAAAAAAGTAATCAAGGAATCGAGGAAAAACTTTATCAGACTTTTAATCATGAACGGTAATTAAACTTACATGAATGTTTGGAAACTAATGAGGAAAGTTTTTCTATTAGGAAGCTTTCAAATTTTAATTTATTAAAAATTCACTGACGAATCGTACAAAATCATATCTTAATAATTTTTCAAAAAAAAATGAAATAAACCAATTTTATTATTTTAAACATGTATTTTTTTAAATGATTTTAATATTTTAAAATATTTATTTTAATAAATTTTAATAATTTTTCTAATTCTAATTATTTATTATAATAAAAATCATTCTATATTATAATAAACATTTTCCTTTTTTCCCCCACAAAATATAGGAATCAGTTCATTAAAAAATTTGAAAATTTTATCATTGGGACGAAATTTAATTAAAGGATTAACTGGAATAGAAGCATTGGGTGAAACATTAGAAGAACTTTGGATATCATATAATTTAATAGAAAAAATGAAGGGCATTCAGGCAATGAAAAATTTACGTGTTTTGTATATATCAAATAATTTGATTCGCGAGTGGAATGAATTTTCAAAAATGGCCGAATTACCAAATCTTCGTGAATTACTTTTTGTTGGAAATCCACTTTGTGAGGGTGCCGAGGTAATTTTTTGATATCTATAAAATTTGTAATTTTTTTCCGTATGATAATTAATAAATTTAATAAATTAAATTAACATAGTAAAAAATTCTATAAAATCGTTTTATTAAAATTATCAAAAAATATAAATAAAATAATTTTCGAAAAATATTTTCTTAGGCGGAGGGATGGCGAATGGAAGTTGCAAGAAGATTGCCAAATTTGGAAAAATTGGATGGTGAGCCAATTATTCGTTCGGATGAGGGTCAAATTCCAAAACTTGATTCGTCACCACAAAATTCAAAACCCTCTGAACCAATTTTTAATCAATAAAAAAAAATATTACATTATCAAAATTTTTTCCATCTTATTTTTTAAATTTATTTTCTATTTATATAGATTATTATTAACAAACAAAAAAGACAATATCCGATACATTTATTATAATTTATTCGTTTCCTGGTACAAGATAGAATATTTTACATATTTTTGGTGGTTGAAAAAGGTTTTTTTTTGTTTTTTGTTTTTTTTGTTTGATTATCATATCGGCACAGAGCACAATAGCAAACACAACATTAGAGTGAATTCGATGCACGAGAAAAATTGTTACATCAACATATTAATAAAGATTTTGAAATAGCAACTTTTTCAATGTAAGAATTTTTTTTTTCTGTTTTTTTTTTTTTTAAGGCAAGTGAGTTGCAGAGAGATCATAATATTTTTTTTTGTGTGAAAAAGCATATAATATAGTATATATACTTTGCACTAAAATAAGTGCAATTATATATTATATTTATACCGATAGATTCTCGTGCACTCGAAAAATTGACTGACTCTTACAGTTATCGTACTGCATTATTATTATTTACTTTATTTTATTTATTTATTTTTTTAATTAAAAAGTCTCCCACGAAAATGGATCCACAATATATTTTTTATTTTATTCCATTCATAAGTCAACTATTTAAAAAATAAAATGAAATGAAAATTATAAAAATAATATTTACGATAATAATAAAAATAAAAATAATATAAATAATAAATAATGTTATAAAAATTTAAAAAGGGGTAACGTTTTTTTTTAAAATTCCTTAATTTATAAATAAAATGTAAAATGAAATGACAAATTATTTTTAATTTTACTAATTTTGTTGTACATAGAAAATCAGTAATTTTTTTTTTTTTTAGAAATACTTTCTTTCTTGGACCCACATTTATCATTTAATTCGAATAAATTGAATATAAATAGTTAAATTATAAAAAATTTAAATAAATTTCGATTAATTTCTATTAAATATATAAAAAAAAAAAATTGTAATTCATAAAAAAAATTATTAATGAAATAAAAGATCTCTTTTCGACAGAAGACTTCCCTGATGGTATACTAAAATAATTTTTCAAAAAAAAAAGAAAACTTGCGTTCGATACAAGCATATTTTATAAGGAAACCAGTTCCGCTTTTTTTGTGCAATTTTTACAAACATTAAATAACTAATTTTTTTTTTTTTTTTTGTTTTTAGTAAAATTCGAACAATAAATATTTGTCATAACATTTGTGTGTGATGTCTGCCTAAAATTCAATAAACTTTAGTAACAATTTTTAACTTGCCACTTTAAATTTGAATCAGTGAAATTCCATTGAGAATCAATGCATCAATTGATTGTCATTGAAAATTTATTTACTGAATGATTTATATAGTGGACGACTATTTTTTTATTTTATCAATAGAATTTCATTTATTCAGAATATAAAGTGTGATTTATATATGTTTTTTTTTCTATACTTTTTTTTTTTATCTGCGACATTATTTTACATATTTGCTGAATGTGCACATTAAAGTGCACATATTTTAATCATCAGTCTTTAGTCAGACCTTTTCATAAATATATAATATTTATATATATATATAGAGCAAAAGAGAAATTTTTATTCTGTAAATTTTGAGAGCCACAGCTTCATTCCTTTACTACAAAAAAAAAATTACTTATTTTATTTTTTAGATTCGTTGGCTTTGTCGTTTTTTATAATCTATTGAAATTTCACGAAGAAACAAATTATAATTCCAGTAGTTCTCAAAATTCAAAGAAAAATTTATTGGCCAAAATTATATTTTTTTTGAGAAATATTTATATATATATATATATAGTATTTAAGATTGTTCCATTAATTGATTGTTTATCTTCGATAAAAACAGATCGAAACGATCGTATCGAAGGCAAGTGCGCGGAGAGGAATAGAATGACAAAAAGGGAGAATTTTGAAAAAGAACAATTTTTTCCCCAATAAAATATGTTTAAAATATCGTTTTTTTGAGATTTGTTTATATCAGCGAAATAGTTTTAAAAAAAAATTTTTTTTTTCCTATTTTTTTTTTTTAACCATTATTACACTGAATTTTAACCCAGGATCTAACATTATTCTTATGTTAAACGACATTTACTACAATTCTTAATAATTAAATTTCTCTTTTTTTAATACTCAAAAATTTATTTTCCTAAAAAATAAATTAGTTTTTTAATGTCATAATCATAAAAACAAAAGATCTAAATTTGTCATAATTTCGACTTAAAAAACAGATTTCTTTTGAATTTTTTTTCTTTCAGAAAAAAAATATGTTTTAGGAGAATAAATTTTTGAGTTTGAAGGATTTTAAGATATGATTGTTTCAAAGACCGTCTAATCAGTCGATAATATTTTGAAAATGATTGTTAAGGTACAAAAGTGATTGAATTTGAAATAGGAATAAAAATTCTAAAACTAAACTTTTCCTCTCAAACGATTTGTCATATTCAGTTATAATATTTATATCATCCGCTAATATAGTTACCATCATAAAAACATTTCATCATTAACCTTTTTAAAAACCGTTTAAGATATACTTATCTATGATTTTTTTTTAAATTTTCTTCTATTAAGTTCTTAATTGTTTTTTTCTGTTTTTTTTTCGAGATCGCGTCATTTCCAGGTGCGTGAGTTTTTTTCTTTTTTTAATAATTTGTAGACATTCATTTTTTTTATCAATAGATACAGCACATCAAATTTTTGCATTTTCATTTCTCATTTTTGGATAGAGATAGAGAGAGAGATAGAGAGAGAGACTGCTTTTCTTCGACATTGACACAAAAATAGTTCTTCACATATTTTCAATTTTTTTTTTTTTAAATTTATATCATATATCTCGACATCGATTGTATTTTATTTCGACACGATTTACACACGAAATAAAATAAGTTTTTTTTTTTTTTTTTTGATGAGGATTTTTTGACTATAGTTCCTTCTTTTTATCTCTTATCTTTTTCTTTTTAGAATAATGTGATTTTTTTTTTGTTCTTAAGTGGCAAATCGTAATTTTTGTTTTTTAACAAAGTCCAATGCTAATTTGTCGCCTGTTCGTGATTCCAAAATTTGTAAAATTGGATGATCTGAAAAAGAAATGATGAAATTTAGTTTTTTTTTCTCTAATTAAATTGAATTATTAAATTATTTTCTTTATTACATTTATTTTTTTGCTGCATAAGAGGTAGCTCCTGATGTTTGAGGCCATGAAAATTATCGATGCTTGCATTAGAATCAGCAACGCCGGGAATACTGCTAAGTCCTAAGAAGGCTTCGCCAGCAAAATCATTTGCTGTCAGTACATCGTGATCCATTACAGTGAATAGGACCATTGAATCTGGACTACGACATTGTTCCACACTCACGGAACTGTGGAGAAAAGAAAATTTATTTTCTTTTTGCAAATTTAAATAAATTAAAAGAAAAATATATAATTTTTTCCTAAAATAAATTTATAAAGTTGAATTAAAAAAAAAAAAAATTTATATTCGAGAGAAAGTGACATTGATTTTGTATTTAAGATATTCATACTTACAATTCGAAACATTCGTCAAAGAGAGGATTTAATGTTTTCTTTTTTACATTTGTTTGTTGTTCGGAACAATGGGCAAAGACTCTTCTTGGCAGCAATTCTATTATTACAAAAGGATCACTGAGTCCATTTGGATCAAGGGGAATCACGTCTCTTGCACTTATCACCTCAACACAAAGTGAATCGTGATTGAAATATGCCCTTACTGTTAATACTCCATATTCAACTGTAAACGTATTCATTTGGTCCTGCGGAAAAAAAAATTTTTTTTGATATTTTTCGTATTTATATTTCTATATTTTTTAATTTTTAATATTTTTTGTTTTTCATATTTTTATAATTTTTAATATTTTTTTTTTTTTTGGATTTATAATTTCATACCTGTAATCGTTGTTGATAATATCTGTCGATTAAAAGAGTTGTGTCCATTTTATGGTATTCAAGTCTTTCCTCGATATTTAAAAATATTTCGCAACGAATTATATCGTAGGTCAAACCCTTTTCGTCCGCATAAAAGAAACTTACCAAATATTCAAGAGCCTCATGAAGTCTTTCATAAAATAATGGCGGTTTATCCTAGGAAAGAAAAATTAATTTTTAAACCATTATTATTTTTTAAAAATTCAAAATCTTTTTTCAAATAAATAAAATCAAAAAAATTATGGAAAATCAAATACTAATAAAAAACTTAAAAATATAAATAAAATAAAAACAAAATAAAAATAAAATACAAATAAAATAAAAATAAAATAGAAATAAAATACAAATAAAATACTTACAAATTAAACAAAAATGAAATGGTCACAAACAATGAAAAAAAATTAGAACACTCACTGATATAAATTAAATAAAAAAAAGGCTGTTGCAATTCAAATAGTTTTGAATAAAACAACTGCAAATAAAAAAAAAAATATAGTGACAAGTAAAATTTAAAAATCCAATGACACGATAGAATTCGAAATTTTGCGTTAAATTTTATAAAGTTTATAAATAAATAAATAAAAAGTTTTGTATTAGTTAAAAATAATTAGAATTAAATAATTTTTGAACTAAGCAGCGTAAACTTATCAATAAGTCAAAATAAGTATTCTCTTTTTGACAAGTTGGAGAAAGCAGAAAAAAAATTGATTTTGAAGTTGTCACTCTATAAATACAAAAAATAGGAAAAAAAGGATATATTATTCAATAAATTAATTTTACTGCTGCACTTCCGTCCATTTGATTGTAAAGCTCGCTCAAGACCACTTCCCAAACGACTTGAAGCACTCTGAAGAAATTGGTTGATAATAAAGACGAGTTAAGAGCCACCAGGTGTACATCTAAGTATTCCACTAGAGGTGCAATCGCTTCAGATGTTGGAAGACTGTCAGGCGACCAAGCCAAATGAAACATTGCCTTCTTCAATGGTGGTCTCATCTTTAATAATTTTGCAAAAAAAAAAAAAAAATTCAGAATATTAAAAAAAATTACAATTATAATAATATTATTATAATTAATAGTTATTAATAATTAATAATTATAATTATAATTATTAATATTACATGAATATTATTAATAAATAAATATAAAAATATTAATTAAACTCGGTAAAATAATAATGGTTTTTTTTTTTATTAATAAACTCTTGGGTAAAGTTTGAATAACTTGCGGAGGGGAAAAAAGTTTAATTCAACAAAGTTTTATGGTATGTAATTGAATTTTCAACTTATTAAATGAAATTGCTTGCCTTTGCCCCAGTTCGTGAGATAATTTGATTAATTAAAATCATCATTTGTCCTAATGTTTGTTCCAAGGGCGAAATCATTGTGTGTCTCCATTGGAGGAAAATTGCTTCGACTGCCTGTCCCTCTAAGGTAGCAAAGAGATCCTCAATATGTAGCATTTCACCCAAATTTTCCATCCATCTTCTCACGTACTCTAATCCATTTACCGCGACACACATCTAAAAATTTTGTTTATTTTTAATTAAAAAAAAAAAAAAAATTATATATATTTTTACCAGAAATTTTAATAAAATATACACGAAAAATAATTATTTAAAAAAATATTTTATAACAAAATATTGAGATAATACTTTTTCCATATAGTCTTACTAAAAATTAAATTCACAATTTTCAAAATTATTAATAATTTAAAAATATTATTTTAAGAAAAAAATGAAAAAATTCTACTTTAATTAATATTTGTTTATATAATATGAATAAAGTTTAGAGAAATAAAATAAAATAAAATAAATTCTACTTTATAAATTTTCTCCATTAATTAGATCAATGTAAATTTAATTTTGTTCCGCAAAAGAGCTTTTGTCTTTCGTAAATCATGAGTTTAGATAACAAAATTTTGTTATCAACATTCTGGTAAAATGACAGCAATGTGACAATTTCGTTTTAATTATATTAAGCTACTTAACTAACAAGCATTAACGAGCTTTGCTAGAAGCAGTAGTAAAGTTTACTATATAAAGCGTATACATTCACTACACTACCTGTGCATTTACCTCGTCAGTCGTTTTATAAGGTCCCTGATCATCGTAATAACCTGAATCAGCTAGTTTTTGATGTGTTAGTTCAGCATAATAACTTCCACAAGTGCAAATTGCCTGCAAAATGTTTAATTAATTATTATTATTATTATTATTATTATTATTTTTATTACATTCCGAGTTTGTAAATAACAAGAAATTTAATATATAAACAAATAGATATAATTAAAATAAAATAAAATAATAATACTGTAAATTTATTAAATAAATAAAAAAATAAATAAAATAAAAATAATTTTACTATTATCAAATAAATATTTATTTGCATTAAATAAATATTTAATTATTATTGAATTAATAATTAAATAATTATAATTACTGAGTGGATTAAATAATATTTGTTTCAAATACATAAATTATTGATTCAAATACAGTTTATTTAATGTTAATAAAAATTATTTGGTTTCAATAACCAATTAATTGATAAATTGAATATAAAAAAATTTATTATTAATATGAAGAATTATAATTGAATTATAATTGAATTAATATTAATTAATTAATAATAATTAAAGATTATGAAGAATTTAATAATAAATATATTAATTGATTTTTCTTGTATGTAATTTTTTTTATATATATATTTTTTTGTATATATATATATATTTGTCACTTACATCGACAACTTTCAAAACAAAACTATACGATCCTGGAATGTCTGGCCACTCGAGTTGATTCCAAAATTCTTTCATCTACAGAAAAAAAATTTATAAGTTAGTATAAAATTTTAGAAAGACAAAAACGATAAATTCATGTAATTTTAGTTTCAGTAGTAAATGTCAATTTCATTTAGACAAATGTTTAATAAATAAATTTAGTGTAAGTAGTAAAAATCAGATGCAGTCAGACCAGGAAGTCAAAGAACCAAAAATATTTTTTCTCTCTTCTGGTTTGACCGTACCGATATTTTTTCTTACCAAACTTATATTTAAAAAAAAATTTCCTTATTATTCTTACAATTTTCAACATTAATAAATAAATCCAACATTAAAAAAAAATTTATTTAAAATTTTAATTAAATAAAATTCTTTTTAGTTCAATTAAAATTTTAATTAAAATTTAAAAAGTTAAAAAAGAATTTTATTTCATTTCTTTGAAAAGCAGGAATCATTGTCTAGTAATTGAGATTGTTTCGAATGAGATGTTTATAGAGAAAAAGAATAACTGGTACGTATCTATAGTTATATATATATATATAAACTGGGAAGTGGTGGTTTAGATTGTTTAAATTGACTCTTGACTTGAAATTACCTGGTCGAAGCACGAAATAGCGTCGATGGCCGATGTGCAATGTTTCACTATATATTCACCAGTACATATTCTATCCAATTCTGATGCTCGTCTCACTCGTTGCATTGCCTTCAACTTTGCTAAATCCAACCACTTATCAACCGCCGGTTTAAACCATTCATAGTACTTGCAAATTGCCAAAGTTTTATGATCAGATTGTGGTAGATATTTCTTCATTCTGAAAACAATTCATTTTATATTTAACTATTTCGCCTTTAATTTAAAAATTTGTATATTATATACAAAAAAAATTTTATTTTCTATTTATATATTTCGTTATATCAGATTTTTATTTATTAATAAATTTTATAAATAAATTATATTTATGAAATTTATATTTAATTATTTATTATTAATAATTCTTAAAAATAATTTTTTTTTATTTAAAATTAGAAATAATTTTAATATTTTTAAAAATTTTATTTATTAATTATTAAGTTTGTGACTAGTTTTTTTTTTTTTTTTATTGTTTTAGTTACTCGTTGACGTGAGTTTATTTTATTTTAAGAAAATTGTATTGTTTAAATTAAATTTTTAAAATTGAATATAAAAATAAAAATTTTAATCGAACAATTATTAATTTTTTTGAAATAAATAAATGTTGGTAAAATTTATTTAAAAATTGTAAAAAATTGTATTGTTTAAATTAAATTTTTAAAATTGAATATAAAAATAGAAATTTTAATCGAACAATTATTAATTTTTTTTTAAATAAATAAAAGTTGGTAAAATTTATTTATTTGATTCTATGGTGAAAAAAATTTTTTCATTAAGAATTATATTGATATAAATTATAATGAAGAAAATTGGCTCACTTCATGAATTCCTGAAGAGCTAAATAAAGTTCAAAGATGGGAGTTCCAATTTCAGCACCAGGGGGTAAAACATAATCTTCTCTATCCTGAGCGTGTATTTGTAGACATGCTGTTGTCACCCTTGCTCCAAGTTCATCATGCATCTATAAAGGATAATTAGAAAATTTAACATCGCAAAATCGAATTTGTTAAATTTCACAATATTTCCACCACTTTTTGTTTATTTTTTTTTTTTTTTTTTTGAAAAAGAAAAAAAGACAAGCAGTCTATAAAGAATAGATTTTAGAAAATAAAGAATTTTCTAAAAAAAAATATACAGGCTATCTTTTTTTTATTATTAAGCTTTTTCTTTCTTTTTTGCAAAAAAATACTCCTTTTTTCGAGTATAATAATTTCATGCAATTAGAAAATAAATCTCAAGCTCTTCTATTCTATTTAAATAATTTAAAACTTTTTTTTAAAAATAAATTACTTCCATTTTCGTTTTTATGTACCAAAAAGGGTAATATTTGGAAAAAAATTAAATATTCGAATTTAAATTGTATATAAAAAAAATTACAATTTTTATAAATCAATTTCTAATTAAATTCGTCAAATTGACATTAAATGTATGTACCTACATTTGATTACAAAATAGAAAAGAAAAACGAAACAAAATGCGAACTGTATATATACATAAAAATTTCTTTTTTTTTCTTTTTTTTTTTTTTTAGGAACAATAAAGCTCGAAAATGAAAGCTCCGAATCTATAGTCCAGTTCTTTTGTTTACCCTTATATGGAAAAGCAAAGTGAGTATTTTTGCATATGCAAAAATATCTCTTCATTTAACATTCTATTGATTATATTATTCAGCAACGTCAAAAAATAAAACTTTTATTTGCAAAATTTATTCAAAATTTTCAATGGATTGCTATATAACGAAAACAATGATTTTGTATATAATTTATATATATATATATAATTCACAAATATCTGAACAAAAGAAAAATGTTTAATGTATAAAAAAATAATTATAATTTTTAAATGGAGAATGAAAATTTACAAATATTATATTGATTTTAAAATATGAAACTATATAAAAATTGTATTCATATAAAATAAAATTTGGCACAAAATATTGGTATGAACAAAAAAAATTTACCTGCAATAACAAAAAGTTTCACTATAATAGCAAAAGTTTTTATTGTTTTAGTTAAATCTTTTACTATTTAAGTGAAATCTTCAGCTGTTCCAGGTAAATTTTTTTCCGTGTATTAGAAAATGGAAGTAATTTGTTGATCTATAAAATAGAAATAGACGCAAATAAAATAAAGAAATATAGAAGGAGCATAGAATTTAATAGTTATGAAAATATTGAAAAAAGCAAATTGATTGGAAAATTATTATTGCGATAGTTATATATATATTATAGAGAGATAGACTAATTTGTGATAAGATAAGATTTACAGCAGTTTTTTTTTCTTTTTTTCGGTGATAAAAGTTGTGTTCTTTTTTTTTATATAACGTTCAAATAGCTATAATAAAATTGCACTTTGTAAAAGTGGTGGAAATTTTTACGGATGAGGCAAACACTAACTAAAAAAAAAAGAAGTGTCAGATAAATAGATTGTGTGCAATAGGGAAAGAAATTTTTATAGAATTTAGATAATCATACATATTTTGGATTTTAAAAGCAGATTCCATTGATAGCATAGCTGCTTATAATAAATCAGTTTTAATTATATTTTATAATTGTTTATAATTATTTTATATTTTTTATATAAATATATTATTATTTTTTTATTTTTCTATTGCAATTATTTTATATTTTATAATTAAAAATATTAGTAAAAATTTGTAAATTAATTTTGATTTTTTTTTATATAGCAAAACTATACTTTAAAAATATTTTTTTTATCAAAATTTTCTTACCATGGAAATATATATATTTTTTTTTGTCTATAAATTTTTCTATTTATTCATATTATTTTATTATTTTCTCTAATTTATTTATTATTTTCTATTAATTTTTTTTATTATTTACTACCATTTATTTATTATTTTTTATTAATTTTAATTTATAAATTTTATTATTTACTATATTATCATTTATTTATTATATTTTCTATTAATTTTTTATTACAATTTTCTAAATTTCTCTTATTCATTAATTTTTTTTTGCAATTTTAAAAAATTTACCTTACTTTTAATCATTTCTGTAACATTTTCCTCACCTTATTATTTTTCCATTATTTTTTTCTCTTATTATTTCATCATTTTCTCTAAAGGTATTTACTTACAATGTATAATATTTCATTATTTTCTAAATTAACTTCAACATATTTTGTTTCGCTTCAATAAAATACTCATTTTTTTTAATTATCATTATTGTTATTTTTTTTTATTTACTCACTAATATTATATATTAATAATAATATATTAATTATTGATATTTACAACCAGTAATTAATATTTATAAATTAATTATTGGTATATAATAAAGTTTATAAAAAAATAATTATAAAAAATCAGTTAAAAAAAATTTACGTTGTTTAACTTTCTTACACTTGTGACCTTTTTACTGTACTTAAAAAAAATTCAATCGAACAATCCATTAAGGTCGATTATTGTGTTACATATATGTGAGTAACGAGAGTAGAAAAAAAAACAAAAGCATTAACGAAGGACAATTTTTTTTTGCTCATCAAAAGAGGACGTCCTTTTTAAAAAAAAAAAAAAATTGTCAAAGTTCAAAAAAAATGTCCATGCGTGATAAAATTGTCAATATAATTTTTCTCTCGTATATAGAAAATGGTGTATATATACATGAAATGAAGTATTCTGTCAGAAAATAAGAAAATAGATTAAAAAATTTTTTTTTTTTTTGTTGCGACCGTCTATTCAATTATTCTTTAAAATGTCCTTCGGGGTACTTTGTAGAATCGGAAACGCAATTGAGGCTTTGCGCAGTTCATGCGATACAAAGTGAATTGCACAGTGTTCATGCTAGTGGCTGTTTAATAGTATAAAAAGTATCGTACGATATAAAAAAAAAAAAATCAGAAATAATACACACTCTCTGTGCTTTATAAATTCATGCAAAAAAAAAATTAATTTATATTAACATTTACAATTGAAAGCAGTATTGTAAATGTATTTGAGGGTATAAATCGTTTTATCAAATTCCTCGAGGCATCTACTATTTTCCGTTTTGAAAAAAAATAAAAGAAAAAGCGATTTTGTTATTAAAATTTTCATTTTTGTTTAATAATTACACTCTTTATACATTTTATATATATTTGATATTTTTTATTATATTAATAAACACTTTTAATATATTTCATTTATATATCAAATATATAAAATAAGAAAAATAAGAAAAAAATATTTTAATATAAAATTTTAATATAAATTTTTATTTCAATATAAAAATATTTATTATTAATATAATAAAATATATTTTATAATAATATATAATTTTTATATTGAAATAAAAATTTATATTAAAATTTTATATTAAAAATATTTTTTTATTTCATTGTTTACTTTATAGAATTTAAAGTGAAGGAAAGAAAAAAAAATTCTCGACATTATTATGAGTGTCAAAAGAAGAAACTTTCAAGATTGCTTTCAATGTATATATAATAAAAAGAAGAAATTCGGCCCATTTTCAGTAAAAAGAGAGAGAGAGAGACTGTTTTAAATTCTGAACCAGTCACATTTGTGAGAGTCAAATAGCTATAAAATGTTTAGGATGAAGAAAGTTTCTTTTTTATATATATATATATATATACAGTTTCCTGTCAACGAAAAATTTGCAGAGCCTCGAGCATTCGCCAAGACTAGATATTACTTGGAAAATCTATGTTTCTTTTTTTCCTGTACTAACAAGGAGTTTGAAAAAGATTCGTCTACGTACACGAATTCATCATACAAAAATAAGAAAAATATTTTTTTTTCAAAATTTTACAAGAAAAGAAATATTTTACATTATGTTTTCTCGAAATTTAAAAGAAGTAAAAAAAATTAATATTTTCTTTTTACAATTGTAAATTAGAAAATTGTAAATAAATAAAACAAAATGTAAAACAAATAAAAAATATTTTTTTCGAATAATTAATAATAAGTATAATAAATTGTAAAAAAAATGTTCGTATATTTTTGAATAATTTGCGTATACGTAGACGATTGTGTATATATATAGAAGATGAGAGAGATACTTTGAGAGAGTATAGATATTATCGATGCAAAAGAGAATTGGCAGGATAAAAAATTTTTGGAATAGAAAAATTGCAATTTTTTTTTTTTTTTTTTTTTTTTTTTTTTTTTTTTTTTTTGGGTCTATCAAAAGTACCTCAGACGTGTTCTCCATGTGTTTCGCCACGTGTTCCGCCAGCTATGAACAAACATAGTCAAGTGTAGAGTGATATCACTATGACCGGAAAGCTATTTATTTATATTTTTTTAAATAATTTAATTTTAATTTATAATTTAAATTTTTCCTGATTTTCTCAGCCTTCAGGTCATTGAGATTTTTTTCTTTGCATTTGTATTCATTTTTATGTTCTGAATCGACATGTTCTGTATATAATTATATATAAAAGACGTCGACCGTATTTATATAAACACTTAAATTTATTAATTAAAATTAAATTTAAATGAAAATTTTATTTAATACCACATATTTTTAATTTAATTTTAAAAACAATTTTTTTTTTTTGTAGAAAAAAAGTACTTAATCTCATTAAGCTATGTAATAAACCGATACCATAAATATTTGCTCCGATAAAAAATTGTTCTAAAAAGGGAAAACCAATTTCTAAACTTTTTTTTTTTTCATTGTTTACATTATTTTGAAATACATATTTGAAAAATTTATATACATTCTTCTAACGCAAAGGAAACAAATTTTTTAAGGTATAATAATTTATTTTTTTAATTTTCATAGTAAAAATATATATCTTTTCCCGAATTTTTTTTTAGATATTTAAATGAGAAAAAAAATATAATCACAATGCGGTATAAAAAAAAAATGAAACAATAAAAGAAAACATTTACACCTCTTTCATTTTAAAATCGGATTTAATTCGCTCTAACAAATTTTTAATAATAAAATCTTCTCCACTCTGTGGAAAAAATTTTATTTTTCAAATAAAATGAACCATCACAGAAAGTTCCAATTTTGCTACTACATTGAATGGCTTTGTATTTTCAAATCCTTTCAAAATTTTTATATGTACACAATGAAATCCCTTTTTACATATATATATATTCCAAAAAATAAAAATTGACAAATATAGATTTAAATAAAATAAAAATTTTTAAGCTATTTTCAAGTTAAATAAAATGTTATTACCTTTTTTTATAAATTCTATTATTGATAAAATGCATTTTCGAGGATTCAGTTTTTTTTTTGAAATTTCAAACAAGTTTTCTGGCTGTAAATATTTATTTAACAAATGACTCTTTGAATTTCAGATTTTATCGAATCTGATTTACACGCGGTTTATGTGTTTTGATAATAATTAATATATATATAATGATTATTTTGTCGATAATTTAAATTAGTGGTTTTTAATAATGACTTAATTGAAATTATCAAATAAATTAATTAAAATCTACTTTCAAAATTTAAATCACATTACAGATAAATAAAAAATGAGTGAAATATTAACAAATTTCTATTTTCGATTATTTTTATAACTGAAATTAATTTCACTAGTAATTATAAATTTTTATTCCTGCTACTATAACTATGAGCTAAATATTTATTTACTTTAAATAAATTTTTATTGGTTCAAATAAAAATTTTATTAGCAGACAAAAAAAATTTATTTTCTTCCAAACTAAATTCTTAATTTTGTTTTCTATTTTTATTTATTTAAAATAATAAATAAAAATAAAAAAAATATTTTAATTAGTTAAATAAAAATAGATAAATAATTTTAAAAATAAAATTTTTTCACATTTTACAATTTTAAATTATATTTTCATTTTTCCTTTGCGTTAGGTATATATAAGTAGAGAAAAAGGCTTTTTAATTTTTTTTTCATATATTTCATATATATAAATGGATTTAATATATATCAAAAAAATGATCGACGTCACAAGTTATAAAGCATAAAAGCCAAACATAGCACACCCAGCTTGATGAGACAGTGATAAAATGTACGCCCAGTGTGTCGTTGCGTGATAAACTGCGAAAATGTTTCGCGTGAGAGTTTCTCTCTTCAAATTATTATTTCTGAATAAAAGTTTACTTACCAGCTTTTCCAACTGTTTATAAACGGCCGAGAAGTAGGGTACTCCGTTCGTGCTGTAATAAATATGCATTTTAGTTCTCCTTAATGCAATTAACTCGCATATAAAAAGCTTTCATGATAAAAAAAAAAAATATAATGTTCACTCTTAATTTCTAAAAAAAATAAAGCCAAAGATATTTTTTTTTCAATTCAAAGTTATAGGATTTTTAACATTGTTATCGAAAAGCTTTTCTTGCATAATAATATAATAAAAAAAGTGTTATTTAATATATTATAATAATAAAAATATTAAATATAATAATATTAATTTGTTTTTACTGTATATTTGAAAAAAAAATTGTCCGTAAATTTATTATATTATTATCGTTATATATAATAAATATTATTAGTAATTATAATAAAAATAATATATAATTACCAATAAATTAAAATCAATAAATAATTAGTTTTTGTTATTATTATTATTATTAATAGCAATAATAGTATTTTAGATTATTTGGGAAAAATTAATAATGAATGAAATGAATTTCCGTGTACAAAAAGCACGTTTAGAAATTCTTTTAATGAATGGATTTTGCAATTAAGTTCAAGTGTCTCTTGATGTCCTCGTGCAAAAATGACGCATGCGTAACGAATTTCAAACATTTGTACATTTCATAAATGTATATTCGAATGAGAGAGTAAAAGAGATCAAAGTACGTCCTTTAAAAAAAAAAACATTTTTTTTTGTTTAAAAAAAAAAACAATGTAAATTACATTATTTTCTGGTTAATTGAAAATTTTTAATTGAAATTCAATTTTTAAAAAAAGTAATTTCAAAATGCTCGATTGTCACTTTATGATTTAATTAAAACAAACTATGAAAAATGAAAAAAAATAATTAACATGTTTTCAAAAGAATTGGAGGGATTTAATTAAATATGTATTACCTAATTGTGAGATTTTTTAAAAAAAAAAAAAAATTTAATTCAAAAATTTTAATTAAACAAAATTTTTTTTAAGTATATTAAATAGTAAATTTTTTTTTATATAGCAGAAAAGCTAATAACATTTTACCTCTAATAAACTCTCAACTTAAGATTTAATGTGAAAATATTGCAGAGAGAACATTAAACCTGTGATTTTAAATCATAAAATGTTAATGAATTTGTAAAGAGTTTTTTTTTTTAAACCAGTGATTATGTGTATCCAAGTACAATGTATAAAATTTTATACGATAATTTTATAAAGACTACATAAAATGTTTTTAAAATTTTATATGTAAATATCATAAATAAAAAAAAAATTCATTAAATGTTCTTAAAAATTATTGTGTAAATAATTATTTAGTAATCTTGTTTTTTTTTTAAAAAAAGAAGACTTGCTATTAAATTAAACTCAGCATCAATTACAAGCGAAGGAAGTTGAATTTAAGATGAAAAAAAGCCGGAAAGAATGAACATTTGATTTAATTTAGTTACGAGTAATTTAATTTGTAAAAGTAGAATGCATTTCAGGAAGAATTCACATCTTTTTTTTTTGCAAATATAGTTGTCTTCATTGAGCTAATAGTTTTAGTTTATTTTTGTATTTTTTTGCAATTAAAACAATTTTTGTTATTTAAAAATATTTTTTCCCACTATTAATAGATAATTTAATTTTTTATTCATTTATAAAAAAAAAAAAATTTCCTCTGTCCTTTAATTCAAATTTTTTTTTTATTTTCTTGAGATGAAAAAAAAAATTAAATTATTTTTTTCTTTTGTAAAAGAAAAGTAAAAATTTTTATTTGAAAATGAAATTGAATTTTCCCGTCACTAAAAAATTATTTGTCAATAAGAAAAAAAAATCGTAGTTTTTTGCGAATAATTTAAAATTTAAATTTCATGCAAAGTGAAGAAATTCAAATTGAAGAAAGGAAAAAAAAACTCACTGTTCAAAAAGGCTATTGTAGTAAATCTGACCCTGTTCAAGATCCACTAATAGAGCAGTCACTAAATTCGTAAAATCCTGCAGCACTCTATCTTGATCCTGATCTGGCTCTTGATCTCGTCCCATTGTCTGTTGCCTCGTATCCTGGTACCTTAAAAAAAAAAAAACAAATTACAAAAAATTTTCTCTATATTCTACAATTTTTAATTAGAAATTTATTTTTAAAAATCGAATTTAATTAATAAGAATTATTTAAGTAAATTATTTTCATGCTATATTCTTAATTATATCACCATTATTATTATTTTATTATTTTATTATTATTATTATTATTATTATTATTTCATTCTTATTCTTATTATTGTTAATTATTATCACTTTGATAATTAAAAGTTTTCAAGTGAAAATTATCAAAATATCAAAGAAAATGAGTTTTTAGCAAAAAAAGAGATTTGTGATTTAATTTTGAACTCATCGTTGCGTAACATTTTGATGAAAATAATCTTAACAGTTCGCGTTATAATCCTGCGGTTGGACTTGATAACTTTTAACTCCTTTTGCAGAAAACAAAGAAGATCGCACACAAAACTTACAAAATGCCCGCTCGCGTACTGCTTTTGAAACTTTGAGTCGAACGAAATAAACTTTTCCCACAAAGTTCTTCTTATGTCTTTTTTTTCAAAACAAAAAAAAAACCTTGTTCTTTCAAAACGAATTCGTTGAGAATTTTTTTTTTTATTTCATCTTATTTAAAGAATCCATCTGATAAGTTAAATATCGTGCGAGTGTTCAAAAAGTCAATAAACATTTTATTTTTTCACCATATTTTCTTTTCATATATATATATATATACACGTACCATTCGAGGGTTCCTTTTCGAAGGGCTGTTATTATCTCCCAACGCATCTCTTTGTTAAATGGACAGCATTTTCTGTAAGCTGACATTATCGACAAAAGACCGAGGCACCTGTTAACAAAAATTGACAATAACTTTTCATGTATTTGTCGATATTTTATATAATTTCGAGAAATGTTATTGGAGAAAAAAAGAAATTTTTTTTTTAAATAAATTTTTTCGTTTATATTAAATAAAATTAAATAAAGTTCTTTGAAAAATTGAAATTAAATTAATTGTAAATTAATTGTAAATTGATTTTAACTAAAAATGGTAAAATTCGAAAAAAAAATGATTTTCACCTTGATTGATAATAATATATCAGAGAGGATATAAAAATAAATGAAAAAGAAATTCAATTTTCTCACACCTCAGAAGATTATCAAGTTTAGAAATTGCTGGCTGATGGAGAGGAGGAAATAGAACTCGATGCTGTCGAACCTTTTTTAATGTCACATCCAAAAATGCATTAAACGAATCTGCCAAATATTGTACTTCTTCTAAAGAAAGTTCATTTGGATGCCACATATTTTCTATATCCTAAAAAAAAAAAAAAATCCTAAATTAATTAAATACATTTTTTTTACTATCAAATTAATAATGTTCCAAAAAATATTTTCAAAAATTCAATAGAAAATCCAAAAAATTATTAAAAATAATAATAATTTAATAATTTTTATTAAAAATAAAAATCTAAAAATAATTATAAAATGTAAAAAAAAATTAAATTTTTGTAACGATTAATAATTATTATTAAATTGTAATTTTCAATTAATGAGAAATTTAATATTTCACTTCAAACCTGAAGAAACCTATAAAGTGTTTTTGGATCAACTGAAGATTGTCTGGCACTGGCAACCCATCTAACAATGGCTTGTTGAAGGTCAGTTATGTCTCCCTGTACCGCATGTTGATGTAGAATTGTCATCGGAATTTGAGATAATTCACCATTAAAGTCTTTCTATAGAGAAAATTACAAATTATATCAATCACGTAATTTACTATTATTAAATTTAATCAAAATCTAATTATAACGTAATTTGAAAATAATATACAATAAAATAATTTAACTTTCGTTTAATAATGTAAATTGATAAATGAATAATTAATAATTGTGTAAATTATTAGATATAAATTAATCTGTATGAATATTAATTATTATAGACAATACTAATTACTGTGTAATATTAATTTTTATATAAATATTACTAATTACAATATAGAATATATAATATTGTAATATTATAAAAATACTAATTACTCTACAATTCGTACTAATATATCTAATATTTATAATGTAATTTGAAAAAAATTTATTTAATTTAAACAATCTACTTGACAACAAATAAATATTTTTAAATAATTATTAAGTTAGATATTTGTAATAAAAAAATTATTGGTTTAAAATTCAAAAAATTATTTGGTCCAATTTTATATATCGGTCAAGTAACTGATTATTTCAATTAAATAAATTCAAAAAAATTAATTTACAGAAAACTGAGCTATGAATAAAAAAAATATAATTAAAAAAAAGGATAAATATTTGTAATTAAGAAAATGAATGTTTTACCCCTAGTTTGTTAATTTCATGATTGAGAAATACAGTATAGAGCCTCTCCTGCTGACGAAGTTCGCCCCAGTTGTCCTCTTCGGAAGTGCCACGATTCTCTCGAGTCGAAAGCCAAAGCTTCAGTTTAATTCGACCCTGAATGTTGCTCCTTTGAGTTCTAGCCTGTAGTTTGTACCAACCTTCCAGTCCTGTGCTTGGTATATCCTTCAACAAGAAAATTTATAACTCAAATATATAATGCTCTTTGATGTGAAAAAGAGAGATGATTTCTTTTATGCCTTCCATTATTTTTTATTACACTGGCTTTCTATATTTTTTAATTATTTCAAAATTTTTCAATATATACATACAATGTGCAATTCAAAAAACATAAAATTAACAAATCAACAAATTAATTTAATTAAGAAATTCATAAATAAAAAAATTAGTAAATTAATTTTTTAATAAATTCATAAATGAATAAATTAATAAATTAATAAATTTGTAAATTAATTTATTAATAAGTTAATAAATTGATAAAAAAAAAAAATTATTTCGAATAATTTAAAAAAATTGAAAAATTTAATTTTTAATTTAAAATCTGTGAGAAAAAAAAGAGAAAACAATCTTACCTGGACAGGAATATTGACGCAGCCAAGAAAATCATCTTGACTTCCTGACCTTGCACTTTGAGCGATTTGCTTGAAGAATCTACCAAGACCTTTGACCCCTCGAACCTCGTTCAATTTGCTGACCGCATCGAGGACCGAGGACTCGTCGTCATGGTCCCTATAACCATGTCTGTCAGGAACACAAAATTTCTCGAAGGAAGTCGCAGTTGAGCCTCTTAGCAGGATTTAAGGATAAACGAAAGACAAAGAACTTTTCAAGAGAATAGAAAGTTCAAAAGAAAAAGAAAAAAAAAACATGCGAATGATTTTTTTTTTATGATGATGAAAAATAAAAGACGTGCCAAAGAAAAAAGATTTTTTTCCAAATTTTTTTTTTGGAAATGAGTATTAATAGTTATAAAGAAATAATATAGAGAATTAAAATATTGTGTATAGAATTTATTTTTTGGCTCTAGATTTGAAATTTATTTTTTTCGAAAAAAAAAGTAAAACAAGCAAGGAAGTGTTCTACTAGGAAAGTATCTTGCATCAAGCATTTGTTTTTTTTAATTTTTTTTGAGAAAAAAAAGTTGCTCACCATATATCTAAATGTATGATATCAGTATTGATGTCATCGATGACGCTGTAATAATATCGATCATCAAATTTTTATCTTCGTTACAGAAAATATTTTCAAAAATTAATAATTAAAAAATTTTCAATACTTTTGTCTGTAAAAAAAAATATTTGATTAAAATAATTCGAACAAAAAAAAAAAAGATTACTTGAACCAAATAATTTTTATTCGAATTAAATTGTATTTGAATCAATAATTTTTTGTATTTAAAACAAATATATTATCTGGCTCAAGTAAATATTTATTTGATAATAAAATAACTGATTATTTCAATCAAATATTTTTTTTCAGTGTAATAGATAAAAAAAAACTAGTTTTGTTCAAAAATATGATAAAAAAAAATTTTCAATTTTATTTTGTCTATAATAGGTAATAAAAAATAAAAAAAGGAACGAAACTAGTTTTTTCGAAAATATGATTCAATTCCTTGTAGGAAATGTTATAAAAAAAAAATTAATAATAAAATAAAAATTGTTATAGATACAAAAAAAAAATAGAAAAAAAGTAGTTTTTTCAAAAAAATATGATTCGAAGTTTCTTTCAGAAAGAGAAGATTATATTTTTATTCAAAAAAATTTTTGTCAAAAATGTATCTGAAATATGAATTTAGTCACAAAAATTAACGGTAAAAATTATTACTCACAAGGGAAATTTTTCTTCCCATCGTGGATTTAAAGTACCATGCTTCACTGAAGTGGCTCGTATGTACTTCGCAGGTACCTCACCACTTATGGATTCTCGATGCTCTCGTCTGCTTGGCTGTTCCTTTCTTTTAAATGACGCAATTCTAAAACTGATAATTAAAAAAAAATTTAATTATCAAAATTTTTCATTACATTTTAAAAATATTTATTTTTAAATTCATTTAGAAATATTTTTATCCAAATAATAGAAATTTCAGAAAAAAAAACTAAAATTTCCAAATTTATTTAAAAATTTTTATTTTCAAATAAAATTTATTTAAAAATTCAAAATTTTAAAGTAAAGACTTTTTTAGAAGAAGAAAAAAAGAATTTTAAGTTTTACTATACTAATAATGCATTTATTTTCAAAAATTATAAGAAAAAAAAAAAAATTACCACAATTGAAAATGTGAACTGGAGGAAATTTTATTTTCCGTAATCAGAAAAAAGGAGAGTTTTATTGCTCTTTTGAAAAACTCATATAACATTCTGACTTTCTAGTTTTTTTATTGTTTTTTTTTGGTTTTACTTTTTTTCTATTTTTTTACTATTAAATAAATTTCTTTTTATCTTCTTTGATAAAAGAAAAAAAAAAATTCTGAATCTATTGGATTGTAAAAAAACGAATTTAAATAAACGAATTGCAAATATATATAGCGTTTTTGTATCTCGACAGGAAGAAAATTATTTCCTTTAGTAAATAACAGGATGTAAATCCAACGACAAAATTTATATTATATTTATAAAAATATAAATCTTTGAAGGTGAAATTAAAGTCAAGATTTTTTTTATATATAAATTCAAATAAATTCAAGAACAGTTAAAAAAATTTTTAATTTTTTTTTCTTTGTATTATTTTTTTTTTGCTTTTTATATCCAGACAAATTAAATTATATTTCTTCTCTATTGAGAATAAAAAAAAAATGTTCATATAATGCAAGAAATTTTTTTTATATACACACACAGAGATATATGAAAATTATTATCTTGATTCTTATTGTTTCTTTTTATATGCCAAAAGGAGCATTGTCGAAAATCTCCGTTTCCGTCGCATTTATTTTAACTCAAAGTGAAACTATTGTGAGCCTTTGAAACACATGTATATATATATATATCAGGATTTAATGGCTTTATACATGGTTTGCGGTTAAATTGCATTAAACGAGGCGCACATCAATATAAAGTTAATTTGATTATAGTAAAAGAATATTAAAAAATTTTAAACCTTAAAAAATCATGAAAATCAAATTATATTATTTTATTAAATTTTGCATAAAATATTTGTCGATTATTTATAATTTAAATAATAATTAACAATTAATAATTTAGAAATTGTGATAATAATAATAAAAATAATAATATTAATAATAATTAATAATTTTTAATACAAATTTGTTATTTGTTTAGTTATTAATAATAGATATAGTAATTTGATTTAATTAAAAAACAATTTAAATTATCATTCAAAATTTGCTGGAAATTATTAAAGTAGAATTTAAAAATAATAAATGAAAAAAAAATTTCACTTCCTTTGTAAAATTAATAAGATCTTTAACGCTTATGGATTTTTAACAAGATGCAAGAAAGAATTTATTACTGCGATTTTCTCTCAACGCGTGTATTCTAAAATAACATTTTTACTTTTTCCATTTTTGGTCATGGAATAATTAAAAAAAAGCACAATATTTATAACTTTCGAAAAAAATGCATTAAATCCTAAAATTTTTTTTTCTTTAATCCAAAAAATAATTACCATAATTTAGATTGTATAAAAAATTTTTAATTCCATTTCTAAAATTTTTAATCCAAATTGACTTTCCTCCGAAAAATAATAATTTTTCTAATTTTTATGGCGTAAAACAAATTTTTATTAATTCCATTTCCAAAATTTTAAATCCAATTTTATAAAAAAAAATAAATTACTACAAATTGAATATTTTTTTTCAAAAATCTGATAAATTTGATTTTTAAAAATTGTTTTATAAAAATAATTTCTATAAATAATTCTCAATAAAAATCATATTTCACAAATGGATTTATCAGATTTGGAAAAATTGCTCCTTGTCAAAAATTTTGTTAATTTTATTTCTATAATTTTTGTATAGAAAATAATTTTTAAAAAAACAATTGCGATTCTAATCAAATCAAATAAATGCAATTATATATTTAAATATTAAAAATGTCAATTATTATTTATAAATGAAAATCTGTCAATAATTTTTTTCTTTTTCTCTCTTTTTTTTTTTTTTTTTTTTTGTCTAATGATAAATCTTGATCTCTTTTGTTTTGCGAAATGAAGTTTGCTTTAGTTTCATATTGGTTCTACCTGGAGTGTTTTCGAAGCTTTTCGTGATGAGAATTTTCGATTTCACAGCCACCATCCGATAAAGCTCGAGTCGTTTGTCTAGGTGAAGGTGGCGCAGTGTGAGGAGAATGACCTGGTAAATTCGTCTGAGGACTCGGTAGTGAGCTGCTGTTTCCCGGTTGAATGCCCAACATACAGTACGGATCACTGTAACCTTGTAAAAATTTACACAATTTACAATTTCTCATTTTATTGACATTTTCATATATATGCATCACTTGTTGAAAAAAATCACTGTTTGTTATATAAATATTGTATAACACTATATATCCTAAAAATATTTTCAACTATTTTATTTATTTATTTATTTGCAATTTATCAGGCAATTTATTTGTAATTTTAGTAATTTTCCACTTAATTGGCGAAAAAATATTTTTATAAATAAGAAAGATTTTTATTTCTAAATTATATGACTTCTCAAAATAATTGCCGAAAAAATATTTTTATCTCAGATTTTTTTGGCTTCAACTTTTGTTTTTTTCCCAAACTTTTTATTAAATAAAAATTGTATTTCCTTGGGGCCAAAAAAATATTTCTTCAGTAGATTTTTGTTAAAAGTATTAAATAAAAAATGAAAAAATATTTTTATCTCAGAAAGAAAAAAGTTTTTTGGCTTCAAATTTTTTTTTTCCAAATTTTTTATTAAATAAAAATATTTCCTTGGGAGTCAAAAAATAATTCTCCAGTAGATTTTTATTTAAAATTATTAAATGAAAAATGAAAATTTCTTAAATTGTTATTTTATTTTTTATTATTTTGATAAAAATTTATTTTTTTATTTTTCATTGAAAACGAAAATGAAACTCAAATGAATTATTCAATATAATAAATTTGGAAAAAAATAATTTTACAAATGTAACTGCGACCATAAAAATATAACGAAAAGTGGGATCATAAATTTTTAAGAGAATTTTTGTCACAGCTATATTGCATAAATAGAGTTTTACAATGGAAATTTATGTTTTTCCGGTGCATTATCTTTCAAAAATGAATTGTACATGTTAAAAGTAACTTCCGTCATGTCGATTGACTCACTGACGTCCAACCATTTAAAAACCAGTTACTCTCTCGAGTTTATAATTTAATTAATCTCAATTCTGTTGTTGAAATCTATATTTGCCGTTTTTTTCCCTTTTGGCCTCGTAGTAACGAATTTTTTTTTTTTTTTTGGAATCCAAGTTGTATTTTTTTTAATTTTTCCAATTTTTTTTAAAACTTTTTTTGTAAACTATTTTTTAAACTTATTTTTTTTCAACTGAATTTTTTCTGGCACTTTATACATATGAGGAAAAGAATTTTTAAAAAATAATTTTCTATTCAATTTTTTAACTCACCATTTGCGTCCTTTGCTTCAAGGCCTTCTGCCTCGACTACTAATACGTTTAGGACAACTATTGGTGGCTAAAGAGAGAAAAAAAATATAAAAATTTCGTTATTTTTTTTTAATTTTATAAAATAAATATATTTATTTATTTAAAAATAAATATTAAAATAAATATATTCTTTTAATAGAAATTATACAAAAAAAAAATACCTTTTCTTCGGATGCAATATTTAAAAATCGTCTATGTTGATCCTGTGGAACACTAAAAGCTTCTTGGGCATATTTATAAAGGTCCTCTTTATATTGGGCATAAGGTCCTGTACTCGCACCAACTCTATTTGCAATTGTGTAAAGAACTTCTCTGTACAATTGTTCCATCTGAAATAATAATTAAAAAAAAATAATTATAATTATTATTTTTAAAAATGAAATAAAATTTAAAAATAAAATACTTTTTCAGTTTTTTTTTTAAATTTTAATAATAATTAAATTTTTTTTTAAAAAACTTGAAAAATTATTTTTAATCAAATAAATACATAAATTAGAAAAAACATTAGCATGTTTACTATGTGGGGATTAATGCGATAAAATGTAAAATAAGAAATAAAAAATGATTAGTAATTAAACTAGAACAACAATTAGGCATGAAAAATTTCCCCTCATATATCAAACAAATATAAAGCGATTAATAAATTTTTATCTAAACAAATATTTATATCAACAATATTTTCAGAAACAAATAAATAATTAGTAGTTAGGTTGTTAATTTGTTTGGATAATTAATTTGTAGTGAGTTGTTTGGTTTGTTTATTTAAAAATCCATTTATTATCATAATTTGCTTTATGAGCTTTCGCCTGCCAACGGTAGGCCTCTTCAGACATATTATCTAAATGTAATTATAAAATTTTTATTTTACATAAAGGAAACAGTGTGTGACTTAGTATTTTATTATATAAAAAGGTAGAATTGATTTTCAGTTAAAAGTAATTTCGTTTGAAATTTGAAAGGTTAACCTCAAAAATATTTATGTATAATTTTTATTATTATCGAAAAATAAACTTACCAAGAGGGTTTCCTCATTAATATTTTTTAATTATCCTTATTTATAAATAAATTATTAATTATCAAGAACATGATTGTTCTTGATAATATTTATAATATTTTAATGGAGATAAGTAAGTGGAAATGAGTTTGTCACATTTTTAAAGGTACAATTAGAGAATTAGAGAATTACTAATATATATTAATCGTTATATGATTAAGAAGGTATCTATATGACCGACTTAAATTGAACGAAAATTTAAATTTGAAAATTTCTTTATTAATCAGTGCTGAGAATCAGGGAGTGATAAATTTCATTTAAATTATTTAAATCAGTGTGTTTATTCACGGAATTTTGAGTTTTAAGAATGTAAAACATTTCTCTGAATTTTCTACGTTTAAGTTTTGTTTCATTACATATAATGCTTGTATCATCGAATTTAAAAATATGATCATTTTCATGTGAATGAATTACAAGGGCGGATTTTGTTTCATTACATATAATGCTTGTATCATCGAATTTAAAAATATGATCATTTTCATGTGAATGAATTACAAGGGCGGATTTTCTATTGTCATACCTGCAATCTCTTTTATGTTCATTTATTCTGTCTTTAATATATCTTTCTGTCTCACCAATGTAGGATGCTCCACATTGGCATGGAATGTGATAAACTACGTGATTTTTGAATAAAAAAGGTGTAGGATCTTTATTTTTTATGAAAATTTTAAAGGGGTCCTTATCATAAGTGAAAACGACTCTAATATTATGTTCATTATATAATTTTTTAAAGGAAGAATGTAACTCATTTACGTAAGGTAAAACTACTAAATTAGAAGAATCAAATGGTATTTTATTAGTATTATTATCATCATTAATAAATAAATTTTCAAAACGTTTATTAATATATTTTGTTAATAAATCCAAGATAATGTTTTCCAAATTTTTTTTTATACAATTCAGTTTTTAATTATTATATACTATGTAGAAATTTCATTTTTAATTATTAAATTAATTATTATTATTTTTATTGAATTTTTTTTTTAAATAAAAAAAGTTATTTAAATACAACTGCGAATATTTTCATTATATTCATTAAACTGTCTATCAATTTATTCTATTAAATACGTACTGGAATAGTTTGAAATAGACGGTTTAGAATTTCTTGTTAAATTCACAAACACAAAAGCCGTAAATTATAGGCATTAAGTTTGTATTAAATTTTTGACATTTTGTCAATACGTCATAAAATATTTGTATAAAATTGAAAATAATTGAAAAAGAAAAAAAATGTAAAATCTCATTTCCATACACAGTCAGAAAAAAAATTTGTTTGAAACAACCAAATTTTGGTTAAATCAACAAAACAAATGCATTGATATACAGTTAACCAAACATTTGGTTGCATAAACCAAACGTTTATTTAGCTCAATCAAATTTTTTCTTTGTTCAAAAAATTTATTAAAACCCTCATAACAAAAGGATATCCCTAGGATATCCATATCAATGGTCGATATCCTAGAATGGTCCCCAGGATATCCCTAGGATATCCAAACCGCCGGTCTGTGGGACATCAACAGGACATCCAAAGGATATCCACAGGACATCCCTAAGACATCCACAAAATATCTATTGGATATTATATCGCAGGATATCCATGGGATATTCTTAGGATATTCACGGCATATTTAATATCTCAACATATATGTTTAAAGGTTAAAATTGTTAAGCTAATATAATAAAAAGAAAAATCTTATGAGCTTCTAATTTATTTTAAATGAAGATTTGAAAAGCATTTTTCAAAGTTTTTAAATAAATAAATAAACTCTAATGAGATATCCAGAAGATATCCTATGGATATCCTCAGATATCCATGGGATATCCAAAGGATATCCAAACCGCCGATTTTTTGGATATCTTGTGTTATTAGGGAATAAACCAAACAGTTATTTAGATCAAATAAATATTTATTTGAATTAAACAAATTTTGTTTGAACTAACCAAAAAATTGGGTAAATATAAAAAAATGGTACATTTGGTTTAAACATATCTTTTTTTTGAGTGCACACTCAAGAAAAAAAATTTGTTTGAAACAATCAAATTTTAATTGAATTAACTCAAATAAATATGTATAAATAATTACAGTTAACCAAACTTTTGTTATTGAATCAACCAAAAAATTTATTTAGATCAATTAAATTCTTTCTTTGTTCGAAATATTTCATAAAAATAAACAAAGTGTTTATTTAGATCAAACAAATATTTATTTGAATCAAATATACATTTATTTAAATCAAATAAATAAGTATTGAATTTATTTATTTGAATCAAACAAATTTTGTTTGAAATAACAAAAAAAAAAAAAAATTGTGTTAATACAAAAAAAAGTATTATATCTGGTTTAATTAATTTTTTTCTCTAAGTGTATTACAAAATTAACATATATTCTCCTCGTGTTCCAATTTTTGAAATTTAATTATAACAATAATATATATTGAGAAATATTGATTTTTATTAAAAAAATATATTTTTCCACTGTCGTAAATATATTATTGATGAATTTTCATACAAAAACACATATACAAAGGAAGGATAATAATTGGAATTATATTCGTCCTAGTGAAGAGTAAACTTAATTTTTGCATGAATTCCCTTGGTGAAAAGTGAGTAACAATAGTCGACTCGAATGGGGCATTTATTATATCACTCGATTTTGCTTCAAAAAATGAAACACGATGTAATAAAGTACACTTAAATAACAGGTGTTGTGTTCGATATTAATCATTCTGTATATTTATTACGAGAGTACTTTTCCATCGTGTATGCGTTAGTTATACTATATTCCCCTTTCCTCTGATATAGTATACATATATACTTGAACCTGCTATTTATATAATCACTAATCGTAATTCCACTATGTCAGTATTCTTGTAAAATATATACATATATACAGTTTCACTTGCGTCAAATTAATCAATAAAATTACCATGCAAATATATATCATCTCCGGAGTCTCTTTATATAATTTTCATCTTCATTTGGTTTGTTTTCAAAAGACAATTATTATAATTATAATAATAATTATTATTATCAATCTTCTTATTATTATTTCTTACATTATTTTTATATTATATTATTTAGATAATAAAAAATTAGAATATAAAAATTAATAATAGTAAAAAAAAACATTTGTCTGACCAAAATAACTTTATCTACTAAAAAAATTTGTTTATATATTTACAAGAAATATTTGTATCTAAATAGCATATAATCTTTTAAAAGAATTTTTTATTTATAAGAAATTATATGGCTGACTAAAATAAACTTTTCTACTTCAGAAATATTTTATTTTTGTCTAACTAAATACGAATTTTTCTACTTAAAACTTTATAAATGAATTTAAAAAAAACCTTTGTCTGACTAAATCGGATTTTTCTACTTAAAAAGAAATTTATATTTAAAAGGAACCTTGTGTCTAACTGAAATAAACTTTTCTACTTTAGAAATCTTTTATTTTTGTCTAACTAAAACGAATTTTTCTAATTAAAATTTTATAAATGAATTTAAAAGAAACTTTTGTCTGACTAAAAATGATTTTTCTACTTAAAAAAGGCATTCATATTTAAAAGGAATCTTGTGTCTGAATAAAACGACTTTTTCTACCAAAAATTTTTTTAAATAGAAAAATATATTTTATTGTCTGACTAAAACGAACATTTCTACTAAACAGTTTTTTTGAAAAACTGAAAAATAATTTTTTTTCTCTGACTAAAACAAACTTTAAAACATTTTTTTTTTATTTATAAGAAACTAAAAGTCTGACTAAAATGAACTTTTCTACTTCAGAAATATTTTATTTTTGTCTGACTAAACCGAATTTTTCTACTTAAAAAATTTATAAATGAATTTAAAAGAAACATTTGTCTGACTATAACGGATTTTTCTACTTAAACAGAAATTTATATTTAAAATTAACCTTGTGTCTGACTAAAATGACTTTTTCTACTTGAAAAATTTCTTTATATATTTATAAGAAATTGTTTGTGTCTGACTAAACAACAGTTTCTACTTACAAATTTTTTGATTTAAAGAAAATAATTTTTTTCATTAAAAAAAAAATTTGGCTGACTAAAACGACCTTTTGTACTAACGAATTTTTTTAATGCCTATAAATTGAAAAATATTTTTTTGTCTGACTAAAACGACCGTTTCTACTTAAGAATTATTTATTGAAAAAAAAACTTTTTGTCTGACTAAAACATACTTTACTACTTAAAACTATTTTTTTAATCATAAGAAACTATATGTCTGACTAAAATGAACTTTTCTACTTCAAAAATATTTGATTTCTGTATGACTAAATCGAAATTTTCTACTTAAAACTTTATAAATAAATTTAAAATAAATTTTATCTAACTAACAAGATCTTTTCTACTTTAAAAGACGGTAATATTCAAAAATAATCTCGTGTCTGACTAAACTGACTTTGTTCTACTAAAAAAAACCCCTTCATATTTACAAGAAACGTTCGTGTCTGACTAAAAAGACAATTTCTACTCAATAATTTTTTTTGTTTAAAAATAAATTTTCTGTCTGACCAAAACGAACTTTTCAACTTAACAAGAGTTTTATTTAATTTATTTACATCATCGTGTATGTTAAAAACGATCAAATAAATATTTTAAACGTATACCAATATTTATCTGCAATATCGAATCGCAATTTAGCAATAAATAATTCAGATTCAGATTCAATATTGAAATTAACCATTGAGGTTAAAGTTTTATTAAAAATTTATCCATGTATATACTTGATGTAACATAATTAATTTTGACCTATAATTATAATATTCATAAAATTATGAATTTCCTACATTTTATGAACATAATACCTATACAGATAAATATCGTTGATTCCAAAAGATATATTACTCGCACAAGAGTAGTTAACAAAATATTCTCTGTATTATCTTTCACATTTCACAATAGAATGGACATAATAAAAAAAAATTTAATTTGATATTAAATCCTTAAAAATATATTCAATTGACAAAATTATGAATATTTAATTAACTTATCAATTTAAAATACATTTTCACATTTACATTTTTTTTAAAATTAAAAATTCAGTACTTTTGTTTAAATAATTAATAAAAAATAAAATTCAATATCTCTCTTTCTTTTTAAGTGACTTTTAATTAACTCAAATCCGTTTAAAATTATTTACAACCAATATTATTATTAAATATTCCCTTTTTTAAATTTCATAAAATGTTTTCAACATTTTTCTTTTGTCAAAAAAAAAATATATATATATATATATATATTTATCAAAATTAAACTATTTTAATAAAATTATTTGCAAAATTAATAAATTCATTATAAATATGTATAGTACATTGAAAAAAAAAATTATTTGATTTAAATAATTCTTGACTATTATCAAATAAATATATTTATTTGTAATAATAAATAATTATTATTTGTGCCAATTTAAAGGTACTATTTGTTTCAAATACAAAAATTATTGGTTCAAATACAATTATAATTTAAATACAAATTATAATTCAAATAAAAATTATTTAGTAGAAATAAAAACTGTTTATAATAAAAATAAATATTTATTTGAATATAAAAAATAATCAAGTAATCGATTATTTGAAACAAATAATTTTTTTTCAGTGTAGTAACATCATTTTTGTATACAGGATGATTTTTATGTTCCGGGCTTTCTATAAATTTTTTTTTTTAATTCTACTTTTGTTGTTAAAAAAACGAAAAAAATGAGATTAAAAAGAATTTTTTAGGGGGTCCAGAACATAAAAATCACCCTGTATAATAAATAATAATAATGTGAGAGAAAGAGAGAGAGAGAGAGAATTTATTTCTTTGAGAGATGAAAATAATAAGTTGAATATACGCTCCGATGAAGATTCTTTGATGAATTAGTAGGTTATTAAAATAAAGAGAGAGATAGAGATAGAAAGAAAGAGAGAAGAATTCAAATTGTATATCAGCCGATTCATTAAGATAGTGTATTTGTTCATTTGGCGAGGTTTGAATGACATCTGTCAGTACAGTTGACCCGATTGTATATGGGCAATGGTGATCAATGTGAGATGATAAGGACGCACCCTACTTAGCTTTTCAATAGGTCGATAACAAAGTTAGCATGATTTATTTCATTCAATCACCTCAATTTGCTTTTCTCTGATATAACTTTAATGGGATTAAAAAGGCTCTTATTTTAATTGAAATGCAACTTTTCCCGTTATTATTTTTTTTTTTGCCTATTTTCTACTTCACACAGTTACGGCGCGGTTTTACTTTTTTTTGCCTTCGTTGAATTGGCAATGAACACGTTATGAAAATTGGAGAAGGAAAAAGTTCTTTCTAAAAGAAAGAAAAAAAAATTCAATTTTAACGCCCCTGGTAACAGTCGATGGTAGTTACAATCGATAGAAATAACAGTCGATAGTAGTTACAATCGATAGTAGTTGTAATCGACATAAATATCAATCGATAGCAGTTATAATGGATAGTAGTTATAATCGATAGTAGCTATAATTGACAGTAATTACAATCGATAGAAATAGCAATCGATAGTAGTTATAATCGATAGTAGTTATAATCGATAGTAGTTATAATCGATAGTAGTTATAATCGATAGTAGTTATAATCGATAGTAGTTATAATTGACAGTAATTACAATCGATAGAAATAGCAATCGATAGAAATAGCAATCGATAGTAGTTATAATCGATAGTAGTTATAATCGATAATAGTTATAATCGATAGTAGTTATAATCGATAGTAGTTATAATCGATAGTAGTTATAATCGATAGTAGTTATAATCGATAGTAGTTATAATCGATAATAGTTATAATCGATAGTAATTACAATCGATAGAAATAGCAATCGATAGTAGTTATAATCGATAGTAGTTATAATCGATAGTAGTTATAATCGATAGTAGTTATAATCGATAGTAGTTATAATCGATAGTAGTTATAATCGATAGTAGTTATAATCGATAGTAGTTATAATCGATAGTAGTTATAATCGATAATAGTTATAATCGATAGTAGCTATAATCGACAGTAATTACAATCGATAGAAATAGCAATCGATAGTAGTTATAATCGATAGTAGTTATAGTCGATAGTAGTTATAATCGATAGTAGTTTCAATCGATAAAAATTATAATCGATAGTAGTTTCAATCGATAAAAATTATAATCGATGGTATGGTATAATCGACCGAACTAGTCGATAGTATTTAAAATCGATATTAGTTATTCAAATCGATTAAAATCGACGATATTTCTTATCAATAAAATAAATAATTTACAAAATAAATATCAGTAGTAAATGTAAAAAAATTGAAATAAATATAAACATTTACCCGCAATGATAACTATATCTTTTTTTTTTTTTTTTTTTAAAAAAAAAGAAGAGAATTGTCTAAACAAATCAAAGAAATGGTAGAAAAATAAATTTTCTGATAAAAATTGTATCTATGATATTTGTTTTGAAAAGATATAAGATTTTCTTCTGCTCACGTGTTTTTCTTCAATCTTCAAACAACGTTTTCTAATAATAATCGAAGTTAGTTTCAGATATAGATATAGATATATATATTTATAAAATATATAGATATTTATAAAAAAAAAAAATCAGAAAATTCCAGAAAAAAAACTTGAAGTTAAAGATAGATCAGCTATTATTGAACGTTTCACATGTATAATTATGTTCAGTTGAAAGGTGAGTTATTTTTAGGAACTGAGATCACGAAAAAAAAGTATATTAAAAACGCAGAGGTTCAATTTTAACTATTAGTTAAATTAAAATTTTTTTTCTAAATTATGAGCTCTCGAGGAACTCTATTATTTTATAAAACATTATTGAATCTAATTTTAGGAAGTAAAATTCTATTCTATTGTTGTTATTATTATTAATTATCAAGTTATAAATAATATAAATGTATTATTTGGTTTTTAATTAAAAATAATAATAATAATAATTTATCATATATGAAATTTTAATGAATTTTCTCACCTCTTTTTGATTCATTCTGTAATTTTGAGACGTGTTCAGGTTAAAATCTCTGGACGGTGGTGGTGCTTCTTCTGCTCTGGCCTCAACCTCTTGAAGAACTATTAACCTTCGATTTTCTTGTTTCCAAGACAAGGCAGTAAAACTCTCGAAGAACGATCCATCTGTTTCTTGAACACTGAAAAAAAAAAAATCCACATCGTTAATAATATAATTAAAAAAAAACAAATAATATTTTATTAATATTATATATAAATAAATATTTTATAGAATATTATAACAAAAATAATTTTAGAAAATAATTTTTAAAAAAACAAAAAACAAATAAATGTCAAAAATTATTTCTCAGTTCTCATTTTCTCATTTATATTTTATAAAAGTGAAATATAATCTGTCTTTCCTGCTTATTTCAATTTTTTTTTATATTACTTTATATTGGGATGAAAGAGATTCGAGTATGAAAAGGTACATCCGACATCTTCGTTAAAATCGATAAGTTGTCAGAAGGGAATGCCTATTAAAGAGACGTCAATGACGTGATCGAAGGAGTATAAGGTCAGATCATTAAAGTTATATAATTTTATTCAATATAAAATACTTAATATATCGATAACAATTTGTTTCTTAATTTTATCAATATTTTCTTTTAAAAAAATAAAATTAATAAAATTAGTACAAATTTTCATTGATTTTTAGTAAAATATTACTATTTGATTCAGTCAAATTTTTTTTTACTAAACTTTCAGTGAAAAATGACTAAAAATTAGTCGCAATTTTCACTAATTTTCAGTACAATAGTACTATTTGATTTAGTAATTAGTAATGTAGTATTTTTTTAGTGCAAAATACTGAAAATTAGTAGAAATTTTCACTAATTTTCAGTAAAATAGTACTATTTAATTTAGTAATTAGTAATTTAGTATTTATATTACTATGATTCAGTCAAATTTTTTTACTAAAGTTTTAGTGAAAAATGACTAAAAATTAGTCGAAATTTTCACTAATTTTCAGTACAATAGTACTATTTGATTTAGTAATTAGTAATTTAGTATTTTAGTAATAAAAAATTTTGTTTTTTTTTTTTACTTAAATTTTAGTGAAAAATACTAAATATTAGTAGAATATTTAGAATATTTGCAATATTTATTTAGAATTTTCACTAATTTTCAGCACAATAATTCTATTTGATTCAATTATTTTTTTTATGAAAGTTTTAGGGAAAAAATGACTAAAAATTAGTTAAACATTTTTACTATGTAAATTAAATTAGAAAAATAACTAAATAAATAAATAAATATAAAATCGAATCCCATTTGGAAGGATTTCAGGAAAAAATTCGGAAATTACTTTCGGAAAATTTTAATTAGCGCTTTTAGGATTTTTTTTCCGGAAAATTTACTCATTAGTATTTTTGGAAATTTTCCGAAAAAAATATCCGGAAATTCTTTCACATTGGAGGGTGCAAATCATTCAAGTAGAAAAAAACTGTTTATTTATTTAAAAAAAAAAATAAATATAAAAGTAAATAAATAAATTGCAAAAATTGAGATAAAATAATTTTGTCTAGACATTAAATAAACTAGAAACAAATGTGTTTTATTTTTTGCTATTGGAAATAAATTTTTTATAATGATATATTAAATATAAATATATATCAGTAATATTTATATGTTGATCCCATTTTTTTTCTACATTTATTGCAATCAATAAATTTTTATGATTCTTTTATAAGGGGAAATACTTCTATTTTGGGGAGAGAATGATGATATATAATAATTTACGTGGACATATTTTCAGTATGATAACCATCACAATGTTAAATTAAAATCTATCGGCGAGTGAAAATTTATGTCTTCAAACTAGTTTCACCAGAGCACATTTTCTAATATAACTAAGACATAATAGAAAATTGATAAAATCGTTTCTTAAAAATTTTTTTTTTTTTAATCAATTTATTTAGAAAATTAATTTATTAATTTATTAAAGTTATCGTCATTTTCTTTGTCCATTGAAAATTTATTACACTTTCTTCATTTATTGATCTGAATTAGTAAATTTTAATTTCGTTAAAATTTTAACTTTTTTTTTGTAATTTATTTTCTTTTCTAGTTTTTTTTTCTACTAAAAATAATTATAAGGAAATAAAATAAATTTTCTATTTCTTCACGTTACTTTATATTTTTTGTAGGTTTTTTTTCCCCTCTTTCTCTTTTTTGCTCATAATTACCAGTAATTAATTTATAAAGATATTTTATTGCGGCAAGTCATTATCTTTTTTTTGGAAAAAAAAAATTTTTTTTTCCAAAAAACTTTTGAAACTAGAAAAGTGTTTTGTCTGCAAATAAAAAATGTTGAATATTCATATTTACGAATTTTATATTTTTAGAAAATATATATGATTGCTTATAGCATTTCTTTTTTTTCTTTTTTTTTTTGGTCGTGAAATCTGAATAAACTTTTTCTTGTCTCAGTAAATATTTTCCAGCTGGAAAATTCAAAGAATGATTGAATAACTTGAAATTGTATTTTTATAGAATAAGTGATGAAAATTCAAGAAAAACTAGGTCACATAAAGTGTGGAAAATAGCTTTTGGAACGGTACTCGTGTCATGGGTGATTATTAATTTTTTTTTCCCCCACCATTAATCCTTATATACTTATATATATTTTTAGCGATTGCTTCTTTTATGCTTTGATAATTTTTTCCTTTTTTAAAAAAAAAATACTTATAGTCTTAAATTGCCTTCACGGAATTAGTGTATATTCTTCTCTCGTTAAAAAAAAATGAAATCCCTTCAAAAAAAAAAAATTTTTTCCCATCCAATGACTTACTTCAAGGTTTAAATTTTATATAAAAAGAATAAATAATGAAGGTTATTGTACGTTGATGTTAAAAAAAAACCATTAAAATGTCTTCAAAAAAAAAAAAAAATTTAACAAAAGAATTTTTTTTTTTTTTTTTTTGGTAGGATAATATTGCACTTATATGAAAAATGATTTGGTTTCTTAATTGTGCAATGTCTTAAAGTCGTTATTTAACAATTAAACCAGTGGCTACAGCAACAGGCTTTTAAAAGCTCGTTCCGCACAAAGAGGGTTATAACTACTACAAGCACAACCAAGTGCTTTTTATTTCGAGGGGTAATATAGGGTGAAAGTACATGCGACAGCTATATTACCTATGATGCTGTTATTCGCCGCAGGAACTAAATTGAAAATGTTGTAGTACGCACTGAGAAGAAATTTCTTCCCTTTAAAAAAAAAAATCTATATATTTAAAAATAACTGAAATTTAAACGAAAAATTTCATTTTAATTTAAATTTTTTTTAGAACAAAAAAAAAGTATTTTCAAATTAAAAATAAATTATTAAAAGTACATAATAATTTAAAACAAACGATGAAGAATAATTCATTGTTTATTTATTTATTATTTATTTCTGAATTAATTTATTTATTTATTTACTCTACGAGAGGAAATACTGTTGTTTTGAAAGATGTATTATCTATATATATTAAATAAAATTAACTAAAAGAAAAATTAATTTAACGTTAAAAAGTATTAATAATATTAGTAATTAATGTATTATTATTATTATTATTATTATTATTATTACTATTATTATTACTTATTTTTATTAACATTATTAATTTAAATTATTTAAAGTTTCTACTAATTTTTAGTCATTTTTTCATTAAAATTTTAGTAAGAAATAATAATAATAAATCAAATAATAATAGTTTACTAAAAATTTTAGTTAAACAAAAAGAAATATACTGAATCAAGTAGTAATATTATACTAAAAATTTCTACTAATTTTTACTATTTTTCACTAAAACTTAAGTATAAAAAAATACTAAATTACTAATTACTAAATCGAATAGTAATATTTAATATTTAATAATTTAATTTTAATATATTTAATATTTAATAATATTAAAAAAAATAACTGAAGCAAATAAGATTATTGTACTAAAAATTTCTACTAATTTTTACTATTTTTCACTAAAACTTAAGTATAAAAAAATACTAAATTACTAATTACTAAATCGAATAGTAATATTGGTAATATTTAATTGGTAATATTTTAAAAATTAGTAATAATTTCTACTAATTTTTAGTCATTTTTCACTAAAACAAAAAAAAAATTGGACTCAATCAAATAGTAATATTTTACTGAAAATTAGTGAAAATTTATTACCTACTAATTTAAATTAATGCAAGAATTTTTAATTAAAAATTATTAATTAAATATTAATATTATTATACATAATTATAATTCATTATGTAATTAAATATTAATTTTCTACTATTATAATGGAACTATTTTCTTAATTGAAATTAATAAAAATTCTGCCACTAATTCAAATCATAGAAATTTTAACGAGTTTTTTTTTTTTTATTAAAATATTGCTATTTGATTTAGAAATATTTTTTTGTTCACCTAAATTTTAGTGAAAATTGACTAGAAATTAGTTTAAATTTAAATTTGTACTATAATATTAATATTTAGTAAAATTTTGAATTAATATATAAATTACAAATTTATACTAATTCAAATTTAGAAAGTAAATCTACAATTTTAAGCACATAATATATATCTAGTGAATAACAAGTTCACATTTTATATATAAATTCACGTATATATGGAGAATACTTGAATTTTCTCGGGAAAATTGAAGTTCCTGAATATTACACATGTCGGGGAATGTTAAAATAAGTCAATTCTTTATGTAATGGTACACTTATATTATTCCGAATTTTCTCGCTTTCGTGGAAAATGTGCATATATGTATGTATATAGAAAGCAGTCATTTGAAACTAGAAGAGGGAATAACTTACGTTTTGATCCTCTTTCAAAAAGAGAACGAGAGAAAGAGAGAAAATATTTCTAGGGCATAAGACAAAATTATTTCTTTTTTCCAAAAAAAAATCTTGGAAGCCAATAGAAAAAAAGGGGGTGGGGAGGGTTTTCATCTTTACTATAGAATTCATGACCTTAAAAATCGTGAATTTATATATCTATAGAAGAGGTCCGAAAAGTGGACTTCAAACGTCTCTTTTTTTTGAAGAAAATAAGGTAACTCTCACTTTATACTAAAGAAGAGGAAGAAGAAAAAGAAGAAGGAGAAGAAGAAGAAGAAGAAGAAAATAGTCTGAAATCCACTTTAAATTTTTC